ATATATGTGTGTCTATATATTTATATAGACACACATATATAAGTCAAAAATATGGAGAAAACATGGAGAGTAATTTAATAGAGATTAATGAGAAGAAAAGTTAAAATAAAATATATTTTAAAATATTTAAAAAATTATTAAAAAGCCGAAAACAAAATAATAAAAAGATATAATCTCGTCTTCAACTCACATGATTATATCCGCAAAAAAGAGTGCTTTGTAATATTGTATTACTGTAGCCAAAGCAAAATGTATGAATACAATAGTGTGAGGAGCACCCCCCCCCAAAATTTTTTTAAAATGAAAATAGAACATTCTAGGTAAAAAATATGCGAGATAAAATACATTGTGTAAAAAAAAGAAAAATGCAAGAAAAATACAGATTAAAATGCAATCTATAAAGCGAGTAGCAAATTCAAATGAACACGATTCTGGAATCTTTCAAAAATGATTTGAAATATTTTCGAAATAAGTTTACAGATTACAAAATATGAAAATCGAGGCAAAAGTAGAGGTTAGAAGCGTAAATAGAGGGATCTTTTTATGGCATGTTCTTACTGCTTTACTGAAGTACATATGATTTGTTACTTATCTTGTATTGTCCCGAAAATGGATGTGCGCAAGGTAATAATATTATGCTGGATAATTTAAAGTTCATAAATAATAAGGTTGATATTTAATTATACAATTTTAATGATTTTAGAAAAATATCAACATTCATTTAAAAAAAGAAAATGAAACATGATTTGCCCGGTTTGCATTGAGTTTTAGCCACAGATTTGCTCGGTTTGCAGTGAGTTTTAGCCACAGATTTGCCCAAATTAGATTTGCACACGATAAAATTATAAATTTAGTTAACAAAGAAGTTTTTAGTAAATTTATTTTTTAAAATGACATACAATTAACTCAATGATTTTATATAGATTTTAATTACCTTAGTTGCATTCATTAGGGTATCCATTTTTTGCCCTTCATATTTTGAAACAGTTTGTCTGTTCGTTTTTTTGGATAAATAAACATTACTACACATTCTTTTAATTCTATTAATTTGATTGAAAATGTTATTTAAATAAATGTTTTTAGAAACACTAAAATTCCAAGTATTTAGTTTATTTATATTAAAATTAAAATTATTTCTTTTATTGTATAAATCAACAACGCAGATATTTTCTTCTTTTTTAACACCTAAATCCAAAAAATTAAATTAATATTATCATTATGATTATGAAGCAAGATTATTTGTTCAGGGTAAATACAGTCCAGCCTCGTTAACTCTAAATTGGAGATACTATCATAATGATTTCATGTTAACCGGATTTCATCTTATCTGACACATCACAAAAGCGATTTATTACATACTATTAATGCATATTATGCACTACTTCTAACAAAGGGAGAAAATAGAAATAGCATTCCTTTAAATGAATAATTGGCACTTTATTCACATGCTTATTATCTGTTCTGTGTCCAGTTTCCTCTCATGTTAAGCGATAGTTAGCTTGAAAATTTCATGTTAAACATGTAATATACATTAATAATTGATTGCTGACTCAGAGGACCAAACACGTGTTTCATGTAAAGCTGTATTTCACGTTAAGCGATTTCGTGTTAATGAGGTTCAACTGTATTATTTAACAAAATTGTATAATCTTCAAAATTAAAGATAATTAAATCATCAATAAATCTGAAAACAAATTTAATATTAAGAGTATAATTTTTTCCCTTTTTTTTTTGTTAAAAGAAGTTAGCTAAGAGAGATGAAAAATTAGAGCCCTGTGGTATTCTATCAATTTGAATAAAAATATATTTTCTATTGTAAAGATAATTATTAAAAAGACAAATATTAATTAGAATTTCCCAAGAATCTAAATTGTAATTAAGAATATTTTTCATAATCTTAGTAATAACTCAAAAGAACATCTTTTAGTTTAGAAAGGGGATCCTGGAAATCATAGTCCCAATAGAATTAATTTTATTTGGTTTAATAAATTCTAAGATTGGTTGATTGTTAGTGATAATCCAAGAATAACCGTTAATAATATTGTTAATAATTTTATTTAAGTAGTCAGAGAAAATAGTGCCAGGTTTAGTTAGGTAAATATTAAATTTGCAAGTGATTTTCTAAATTTAATAGGAATTTTATGAAATTTTGAACTGATAATTAAGTATGGAAATCGTAGATTGCTAATTTTAATTTTTAACCTCTTTATTAAAATTAAAACTCTAAAAGAGATACATGAAAAAATTTTATAGAAGTCTTTTAAGTTTAAGGGTAAATTTCTGTATTTAATGGCTAATATCTTAGCAGTAGGTAAAAACTTTGGTGGAACATGATACATTCTATAATGTATTCAGGATATATTGTGAAACCATAGTAAGTCGAGAATTTTGATGTTTTATTTTCTTAAAATTAAAAAACCATGTCAAAATTTCTGCTTTGTAACTACTACCTGTAAAAGGTTAAAATTGATGTATAATCTTATTGTAAGGAATGTTAATACAAAAATTCAATTTTTCTCAGTTTCAGAATGTATTTGTAAACAATTTTAAAAATATTCTGTTGTATTGATTTTTCGAGCTTTTTTATTCTTAGATATTTATTAATGCTTACTTTTTTAAGTAAATTTTAGGAAATTGTTCTTATAGGAATTACATTTCATTTTAATTTTCAAACATATAGTTGTGATTGTAAAATAGTACAAAATCTAATACAATTCTAATTCATACAAAATATATCTTTAATATAAGAGTACTATAAATAAAATTAGTCTAGCTTTGTAATTAGTGATATGATTGCTTTACCCACAATGTCCAAAACGTAAAGAAGTTTTTACTGACTTAATTCGTTTTTAACAATTACCCAAAAGATAATGAGAAAATCAGATCCATCAAAAACGTACTTAATTTATAATTTAACAGTATAAGTTCCTTGATATGAGATTGCCTTAAATTCTAAAGGAATAATATTTCTATTACGTGCAATAATGTGCCACTTTTTATATATTTTTATGCATTTAGTGTAATTCACACACAGTCTTCCAAGTCTGGTGCTAGTTTTTCAAAAGTCATTTGATAATCAAATAACATTGTTTAGAACAGATTCTATTGAAACATACTAATGATTTTTATGTTACATTTATAGTTAATCAGTAATGGAAAAAAATATTTTGTATGAAGTTATCTTATTGGTTAAAAATTATAAGAATATTTGGCAGAATTATTCCATCAAATTATTTCTAGAAATTTATACTTAAAACAAATCAGACTATTAATTTAGAGTTCCAAACAAGCTGGAAGTTGTTTAATGGTTATCTGGAAATAAGTTAAAGTGATACTAAAAACTTTGGATTATTGCAAAAAGTAAATAGTATCTTTAAAAATTGTTACACAATATTAATAAAAAATAATTGTAATTAAAAAAATTTACATTGTGCATAAATTAAGCTAAATAATTTGTTACTACTATTATAAACTAGTGTTGTATAATAATCAAAATAATGTTAAAAAAAATCATTAAATGTTTTTATATGTTATCACTTAATAAAAGTGAAAAAAAAAAGAGTAAACATAAACTAATAAACATGGTATTATTCTTTTTGAACTATCTAAAGTTATTGTTTTATAAAATTGATTTTTTTTGTTTTAAAAAGTAAGCATTAACTTAAAAAAAACTTAAGTTTTGAAAAAATTATGGTGTGCACTCTCAACTATTGAAAAAAAGGGATAAATTATTCAATGAGCAAACAGAATATATTTCTTTTGGATGGAACATTCAATTTTTCCCCCTAAAGAATCTTTCTCTTTTGTTTATTTTTAAATTTGAAAAAAAAAAAAAACATTTACATTAATAACTTTTACAGTCTTTTGAGCTGTAGTTTTAGGTCTGTTATGCTAAATATTGTTATTAGACAGACTTTCCTCTTCAAATTCTAAATTGCTGCATGAAAAGTATAAAAAAATTTTCTCCAAAAGTTTGATTTAAATTATACATTTTTAAAGAGAGTGTTCATTACTTAAATAATGATATTTCCTGGGAGTCGTTTTTCCTAATATTTTTTGTATGTTTTTTTTTTTGCTTCCTCATTACTAAGAAATAATAAGAAAGAGGAATTTTCTAACTCACGGCCGGATTATCCTATAGGCACACTAGGCACGTGCCTAGGGCCTACGAAATTCAGGGGCCTACGAAAAACTTGGGAGAAAAAAATTTATTGACCAAAATAATTTAGCTTNCCTGTTCTAACTGTTAATTTTTTTCTTGGTTCCTCTTGGAAGACATTTTAACATTAAGCTTTTAGAGTAAAATTTTGGTGCCTGAAAAAAGTGGTAGTGATCCACTGTATTATAATTTCAGTGCAAAATGTTTAATCTTTTTTTCAAGTTTTGTATTACCTGTAAAATTTTTCCTGAGTATGTGATTGCTCAAAATTTCGAATTTTACCATTGATATTAAGGCTTAATACTAATTGTACTTTCAGAATAAAAGAAGATGTGACTCAGCTGAAAAAGAGGTATATGTTTTACATTTTTATACATTATCTTGGCAGTGTGTTAATGAATTCGATTATTCACTTTTGTATGCTTTATGTGAAAATAAGTTTTACAATGTTAGTTAAAAGGAGGAAATTTATCTTTTCTCACATTTTTATTTCTATTTAAGATAATTGCAAAAGTTGTGATTATTTAAATTAAGAAACAGGTATTTGTGGTACATTTATTTGTACTCTTTTAATCTTTAGCAACAATTTTTTTCCCTTTAACATTTGTTTGATGTTTTTTAATTTTTAGTTGGTAATGTTTAGTTGGTTTGATTTAAATAACAAATTTTTAAAAAGAGTTTACTTAATTTGAATTGTAGCATTTCCTGGAAGTCATTTTTCCTAATATTTTTTTAAATGTTTTTTGCTTATTTATTACTAAGAGATAATAAGAAAAAGGAATTTTCTAACTGATAATCCTTTTCTTGGTTTCTCTTAGAAGAAATGTTAAAATTAAGCTTTTAGAGTAAAAAATTGGTACCTTCCTAATTGGTAGTTGTTGGAAATGATAGTGATCAGCTGTATTATTCTTTAAGTGTGAAATGTTATTTTTTTCTTCCAATTTGAATGGGGGCAAGTTTTTTGCTAAGCGTGTAATTTTTTCTCAGTATCTGATAGTTCAAAATTTTTAATTTTACCATAGATAATAAAGCTTAATATTAATTGTACTTTCAGAATAAAAGTGGACTTGACACAGCTGAAAAAGAGGTAAATGCTTCATTTTTATGTATTATCTTGGTAGTGTGTCAATGAATTTGATTATTCACTTTTTTATGCTTTCTGTGAAAAAAAGTTTTTCACTGGTAGTTAAAAGGAGGAAATTTGTTTTTTCTTATTTTTTATATCTATTTAAGATAATTGCAAAACTTGTCCTTCTGAATATTTCAATTAAAAAATGGGTATTTGTTTTACATTTATTTGTACTTTTTTAATCTTTAGCAGCAATATTTTTCATTTAACTTTGAATATTTATTTATTGTTTGTTGAATATTTATTTGTTGTTCATTTAACTTTGAATAGTTATTTGTTTTTTAATTCTTAGTTGGTGATGTTTAATGTTTTGAAATTGTTAGTCTAGTTTCAAAATATATTAATTGAGTAATACTAATAAAAGTTTTAAAGTGTTTTAAATTATACCAGAAAAAATTTAATTGAAAGCAAAATATTGAAAGTTTTATTATTTATTACCTTTTTATATGAGACCTTATAAAATTTATCTGCAGTGTATATACTAAATTATTTGTATTCAAATGATGTACTCTGCTGAAGTTCGACAGATGAAGTTGCTTAACTTTATGGCTAAAAAAACTTCAAAATGGAATAATTTACTGATATAAAAGCAATACATGAAAATTGCAATTCAAAAATAGTAAATGTGAATAGAAAAAGTCTTTTGATTTCAATTTATATTAGCTTAGAAAAAAAAATCAACATTAAAAATAAATTTCAGAAAATTAACTAAACATCTAGAAAACGAAACGAAGCTTGATATAAAATAAAATCAGAAGAAAAAACATTTGTTTTAAATGTCCCAAATACTAGAACAAACCTATTGAAAGTGGAGTACAAAGGATACTCTCCCAACTATTGTCTAAAATTTTTTGAAATAAAAATTTGTGTAATGCTGAAACTCAACTGATGAAGCTGCTTAACTTTATTGCTAAAAAAACTTCAAAATAGAATAATTTACTGATATAAAAGCAATGCATGAAATTAGCAGAAGTTACTCAACTCAATGGGTCAAAAGACTGCAAAATAAACCTATTAAGTATAATAGTATTTTGGCTAAAATATTTTTAAGTAATAGATTACTTTATTATGAACAAAAAAAAAGTATTCTTCTAGGACAAATTTCAGATGGGTTACAGCCATTAATAGCTATTGTTGTGTTAATCAAAATTGTGCTGAAAGAGCTATTTCTGCCGCTTATAACTTTTTAAACCTTTTACTAATTCTAATATTATTATTTTTAAAGTCAGTATCAAAATATCTGTAAGTGTACTATTTGTTTTTTTATAACAAATCTGTGAATCTTTTTTTTTTAAAATTCTGTTTGATTTAAGGGGAAACATCCAGTTATGCTTTTACAAAAATTATTTTTAAAAAATAATTATAAAAAGTAGATTTGTAAGCATATATTATTATTTAAGTATGAATTTTTAATTTTTGACCATTAAACATTTAATGTTTTCTACTATCTGTTTATTTTGGAACAAATTCAGATGAAAGAAATCCATTTTGGACACTAACAATTATTTTTTCCATATTTTTTATTCTGCTTTCATACATGATAATGTAAATTATTTAATTTTACCTTAAAAACAACGCTTTTATATTGTGTTTTTAGATCACAAGTGTTCCTGGGTCATCTGAAAAACCGGTAAATATTTGTGAACTAAGTTTTACTTTTTTGTGTGCATGTTCTTGTTATTTTATTGTATTTTTTTCTTCAAATTTTTCTATGCTTTGTGACATGATTAAGTATTAGGTTCTTTTCTGCTCATTTGAACAAAAAGGTTAAATGATATTTTAAGCACCAAATTAAAAGTTATTAAACCATTATGCTCAATATTTAGTGGAAAATTTTTGATGTGTTTTCAACAACATTGCCTTCATTAACATTCATAAAATACTTGGGATTCATGATTAATAATGTTGTTTCATATTAAACTAACCATTTTTAGTGGTTAGGTCTTAAAAAAAATATTTTCAGAATAATTTAAAAAAGAGATTTGTAATGTTACTCAAGAATTTTTTTTTTTTTTAAATTTTAACAGAGTAAGATTAATACAAAAATTTTATTTTGAAATAGATTTTAATGAAAGTGACCCATTTTGTTTACTAACATACAGTGGAAAGTTGCGTATCCGGAATTGGTGGGACTTTCTGAAGTATGGATATTAGATTTTTCCGTATAATAGACCCCAAGGTAATCAAAGCTTAAAACGACCTGAATCTAAGAAGCAAAAAATAAATGAACATTATTTTTCAGGCAATAATGTTTTAATATTAGAATTATATCTAATCAATCAAAATCGAAATATTAGAAAGAAAAATTATTGCTTAAAATATAGAAAAAAAAATTGACAGTTATGTAAATATTAATTGCTCTTGCTGCCATTTTGAACTAGAACAATTCAAGCAAGAAAGAAAAATTCCCATCATTCTTTAAGGTGGGTAGGTGGAGGAGAAAAATTCATCCCCTCATTTGTCATTCAAGTTGAGGGTGGGGAAGTGACAAATTCTTATTTTTTCTCCCATCATTGGCTATCAATGAAGCATTAAGGCGTGGCATGCTGATTGGGTTCTCTTTATTTTTTCTTGTGTGACTGAAAGTGACTCCCTCTCCACTCCCCTTTTTCACAGTATTTCTTCCTTCCCTAACACTAATAAAAGGGTTCCAGGAAATGCCTCTTTTACTATCCAGCTGCATAGGAAAGAAGGGGAGAGGGAACTCAGTTGTGCTCCTTTGAAAACAAATCTCCCTTCTTTCCTCCATTCCGGAAGAGGAGCATCACTAAGGGTCACTGGATGGTCTTGGTAGATCTTCTCTTCCTCTTTCTGGTTATTTATGGGTTCAATGCATAAATCACTAGCTAGAAAAGAAAAAAACATGTCATTTTTTTTTTGTTTTTTTTGTTTTTTAAGAGAGGGGAAGATGAGGGAGATGTTTGTTTATTTTGATTGTTAAAAAGTGTCCCAGAAATTGACCTTTCCGGAAAAGAGATGTCTGGATATGGGACATTACACTGTATATATATTTTTTATTCTACTTTTAAAACGAATAATTCAAACTTCTTAACATTGCTTTAATAAAGAATTAAGTGTGTTATTTTTTTAGGTTAAAATTGATCTTGATTCAGAAAAAAAGCTTGTAATTATTTTGCTATTATTTTCTTTCTTTTTTGTGTATAGTAGGGTGATAGTGGATTTGATTATTCAGTTTTTTATGTTTTAGGTGACATTAGTTAGTTTTATGTTAGTAATCAAAAAGATAAAGTTGTTTACTTTTTCTGAAATTTATTTTTCTTTTCAGCTTAAGAGTTGCATAAGATCTGAATCTCCAGATAAGAAACAGGTATTTTTTGTAAATTTTTGGTTTCATTTTTTTAATGTTTATTTAAAATGTGATTATTTTTGAAAGTTTTAGCAAATTTGATTGTTTTACTTTTGGAATTTATTTAGCTTATCTAAATTTTAACATTGTAACTTAGGAGAGTATCAGTTTGTCCCAAATAGGACTGGGCTATAAATCGATGTATCGAGACATATCGATTTAACGCATATATCGGCAAGACGATACATCAGAAATCTGATTTAAGCCGTCGAGTAAAGACAACGAGCGCGAAACAATATAGCGATATAAGACACGCAAGGATATAAGAAAACGATATAGCGATATAAGACTCTTCTCTTACGTTCCGATGTCGACTCGCGCTGTGGACGACGATGTTCGTTTCGTTAAGTTGAAATGACCTTGATTGGTGAGCTTCAGAATCAGATTTTTGAGAACATATATCGTAATCTCGCATGTTCGTTTTCGCACCTCTTAGTTTTTTTTTCTTTGTAGCGACTTGATATCGTTCCTTGTAGATTATTTTCAGTGAGAATAACTTCGTGATCGCCGATGTTACCTTGTTCTGAAGGCAATCTATTATTGAAAAGAATATATAAAGAGGAGTTTCTTCATTAATTAGATAAGTTTTTTTTTAACAAAACTTTTTTTATTTTTAAATGTGAAAATTATCGGAAATCTAATTTAAGGCGCCCATAAAGAATTAAATTTGATAGGTTATTTTTTTACTTTCTTTTAATTTATTAAAAACTTTTTGGATAAAACTACTAATAATATAATAGGTTTTTATTACCGATTTTAAATTTATAAATCTTGTTGTTTTTATTTTTAGAAATAAAGTTAAGACAAAACTTATTTTTTGTCATTTGGATTTGGACATAAATCACTCCACTTTGTTTATTGAAAAAAATTTGAAAGGTTTGCGTATTTTATTCATTTTTTAAAATCATTTGGCACTTCGTTTTAATAAAGAGTATAATAATTTTTTTAAAAAATATTCTTTTCATATTATTTGTTAATTAACTAAATATATTATGGAATATCACAATTCTTTTGTTTTAATTTTTAAGAAATTAAACCTTACTTTGTTTTTCGTTCATAATTCGATCATTATTCAATTTAATTTAATTATTTATCTGAAATAATAACAAAAAAAAATAGTGTTTTAAAAGCGATTTTTTTTTTCTAAAATTTATTTAGCACATTGTTTTAAACATACAAAATTTTTTTAACAAACTTATTTTTTAAATTTTCTTTCTATACTGTTAGGTAAATATATTGATAAATTTCAATTTTATTTATTTTTTTATTATTTATTTTTAAATTAAGAAATATTTCATTTATAGAAAATGTAACAAAACTAGCATTTACTTTTTCATTTAGAAATTGAACATTACGATCGAACTTAATAGTTATGTAATTATTTTTGCATAATTGTACAAGAAAATTTTAATTTGTAAAAAACGTTTTAAAAAAAAAGTTTTTAACACTTTGTTTTAAGCGTATTATGAATTTCTAAACAAACATTTCAATAAATATTTTAAGTAAGATTTGTACATTGTAGTCAATTTACTTAATATCTTTCCTAAGCAAAACATATACAGGGTGATTCTAAAAAGATGGGCAAAATTTTAGGAAGTGATAGTACACACCCATGCAAGCAATTTTTATCAAAGAATGTATGGTCGAAAACAAAATGCAAAGGTGCTGGCGCATTTGAAAAGTTGTTTGATGCAAACGTGAAAGCTCCATTCCTGTTGCGAGTTACTGCGCTGCATTACTTCTCGCCAAGCTTTCGTCTGTTGCAGGGAAAGTTCGTGATATGCCTGGTGTGTTTCAGAATGTTCACCTATCTTTTCTTCGCCATTGTACTGCGTGCATAGCCGCTGCCAGCCACTGTTTTGAACACTTATTGTAATCACATGCCATTAAATTTGCTTTTATAACTTAACTTCATCATTTTTTGTGTGTTTTTGCCTCATATAAGAACATAAACTTTGACGCCCTCTAGCGGTTTTGCGTTTTGTTTTGGACCATGCATTCTTTGATAAAAATTGTTTGCTTGGGTGTGTACTATCACTTCCTAAAATTTTGCCCATCTTTTTAGAATCACCCTGTATATCTTCAAATTTATAAATTGATTTAAATCAATCTGAGAATGGAGTTTTGATAAAAATCTGACTTTCTGTGCCTTACAAGTAAATGAAATTCAAAAATACCATATCGCGATACATCGCTATATCCCGATGCAAAACTGACGATGCATCACAATATATAATTTCTAATATCGCCCAGTCCTAGACCCAAATAAAAGTTTAATTAATCATCACACGAAAAGTATTATTTATAAGAAAATCCTTTTATAACTGCAACAACTTTCAGAATTTGAACACGCAAACATAATTAGATGAAGTATTATTAACACGTTTAACTGGAACTGTAATACAAGTTGACCCATAAATAAATTTAATGCATTAATGAGGAAAAAGATATCCTTTTTTTCTTGGAAATAATAAAAGTTTGTATGTCTTGCAAAAGAAAACTTCAAATAATATGAACCGGTTGAGAGATAAATGAAGATTTCCCTTGAAGGTATGTGTATCTCTGTTGGTTTGTAAAGACCATTTGAATTCAGAGAGAATTATTTTGAGTTTTTGAAGTATTTTTTTAAAATAAAAAATTAGACAGAAGCAGATGATAATGTTCAATTTTGAGTAGTGGTGATGAGTACTTGCTTGTAATAAGACAATTTGAATTTGGCTGAATAAAATGAAAGTTGACTCAGGAAAAGCCATAACAATTGCTAGATTTTCTTGTTGTGATAATGATGATCATTTTTTGGATAAAAATAAAAAATTCTGAGAAAAGGAATATAAACTCTAAAAAATCCAAATCAGCTATAACTTTAAAAGTTGAAAATAATGAAGTTTGAAAAAATGGAACTGTGTGGAATGCCGCGTAATTAGATACAAAGAATGTAGGAAGAAAAATAGAAGCATAATATTTGGAAGAAAGTTGGGGACCCACACCATATGCTACGCACAATCTTATGGGTGATAGTCTGTCAAATACCTGTATCCTCTTCATAGATTAATGGTTATCAGAACATACAAGAAAAATGCTCTAAAAATGAAACTCATTAGCAAATTTATAAAATTCAATGAATTATAACAATAAAAGAAACTGATGCTTTTATATGCATGTTGTCGCATCAGTCTTAAATGACATGGTTGTAATAAAACTCCATGGTAAAAGGAAATTTCATGTTTCAAAAGAAGCGACCCTGAGAGTCGTTTTTCCTAATATTTTTTTTAATGTTTTTTTTTTTTTGATTCCTCATTACTAAGAAATAATATGAAAGAAGAATTTTCTAACTGTTAATTCTTTTCTTGGTTCCTCTTAGAAGACATTTTAACGTTAAGCTTTTAGAGTAAAAATTTGGTGCCTGAATAAAGTGGTAGTGATCCACTGTATTATAATTTCAGTGCAAAATGTTTAATCTTTTTTTCAAGTTTTGTATTACCTGTAAAATTTTTCCTGAGTATGTGATTGCTCAAAATTTCAAATTTTACCATAGATAATAAAGCTTAAAATTAATTGTACTTTCAGAATAAAAGTGGACTTGACACAGCTCAAAAAGAGGTAAATGTTTCATTTTTATGTATTATCCTGTTAGTGTGTTAATGAATTCGATTATTCACTTTTTGTTTTGCTTTATGTGAAAATAAGTTTTACAATGCCAGTTAAAAGAATGAAATTTATATTTTGTTACATTTTTATTTCTATTTAAGATAATTGCAAAAGTTATGATTATTTCAGTTAAGAAACAGGTATTTGTGGTACATTTATTTGTACTCTTTTAATATTTAGCAGCAATTTTTTCCCTTTAACTTTTAACATTTGTTTGATGTTTTTTAATTCTTAGTTGGTCATGTTTAGTTGGTTTGATTTAAATAATAAATTTTTAAAGAGAGTTTACTTAATTTAAATCATGGCATTTCCTGTAAGTCGTTTTTCCTAATATTTTTTTAAATGTTTTTTGTTTACTTATTACTAGGAGATAATAAGAAAAAGGAATTTTCTAACTGTTAATCCTTTCCTTGGTTTCTCTTAGAAGACATTTTAACATGAAGCTTTTAGAGTAAAAAATTGGTGCCTTAAGAATTGGTAGTTGTTAGAAGTGATAGTGATCCACTATATTATTATTTAAGTGTGAAATGTTTAATTTTTTTTTTCAATTTAAATGGGGCATGTTTTTTGCTACCTGTTTAATTTTTCTTGAGTATGCGATAGTTCAAAATTTCTAATTTTACCATAGATAATTAAACTTAATATTAATTGTACTTTCAGGATAAAAGTGGACTTGACGCAGCTGAAAAAGAGGTAAATGTTTCATTTTTATGTATTATCTTGGTAGTGTGTCAATGAATTTGAGTATTCACTTTTTTATGCTTTCTATGAAAATATGTTTTACAATGCCAGTTAAAAGAATGAAATTTATATTTTGTTACATTTTTATTTCTATTTAAGATAATTGCAAAAGTTATGATTATTTCAGTTAAGAAACAGGTATTTGTGGTACATTTATTTGTACTTTTTTATTCTTTAGCAGAATTTTTTTTTCATTTAATTTTGAATATTTATTTATTGTTTGCTGAATATTTATTTGTTGTTCATTTAACTTTGAACATTTATTTGTTTTTTAATTCTAAGTTGGTGATGTTTAATGTTTTGATATTCTTAGTCTAGTTTCAAAATATATAAATTGAGTAATACTAATAATTTTAAATTATACCAGAAACAATTTCATTAAAAGCAATATATTGAAAGTTTTATTATTTATTATCTTTTTCTATGAGATCTTATAAAATTTATCTGCAGTGCATATACTAAATTATTTTCAAATGATGTACTCTGTTGGTTTGAAAGTTTTAAAATGCAAGAGTGTCTATGACTGCAAAATATGATTAAATTAATTGCACTAGCATTTAAAATTAATTGAATCTTAATAAATTTGAAATTTATTAATTGAAAATAAAAATTCTAAAATAGTAAATGTAAATAGAAAAAGACTTTTGATTTCAATTTATATTAGCTTAGAAAAAAAATCAACATTAAAAATGAAATTTCAGAAAATTCACTAAACATCTAGCAAAACAAAACGAAGCTTGATATAAAATAAAGTAATTTAAATCAGAAGAAAAAACATCTGATTTAAATGTCCCAAATACTGGAACAAACCCATAGAAAATGGACTACAAAGGATGCACTCCCAACTATTGTCTAAAATGATTTGAAATAAAATTTTTTGTAATGCTGAAATTCAACAGATGAAGTTGCTTAACTTTATAGCAAAAAAAACTTCAAAATGAAATAATTTACTGATATAAAAGCAATGCATGAAGTTAGTAGAAGTCAAAAGACTGCAAAAAAACCTATTATATATAATAGTATTTTGGTTAAAATATTCTTAAGTAATAGATTACTTTATTATGAACAAAACAAAAAAAGAGAAATATTCTTCTGCGGCAAATTTCAGATGGGTTACAGCCTTTAATAGCTATTGTTTTGTAAATCAAAATTATGCCGAAAGAGCCATTTCTGCAAAAATATTACCACTTATAACGTTTTAAACCTTTTCCTAATTCTAATATCATTATTTTCAAAGTCAGTATCAAAATATCTATAAGTGTACTATTTGTTTTTTTTTAGCAAATCTTTGATGGGAGAGGGGCTATTTTTTGAAATTCTGTTTGATTTGAAGGGAAACAGCGAGCTAAGCTTTTACAAAAATTATTTTTAAAAAATAATTATAAAAAGTAGATTTGTAAGCATATATTATTATTTAAGTATGAATTTTTAATTTCTGACCATTAAACATTTAATGTTTTCTACTATCTGTTTATTTTGGAACAAATTCAGATGAAAGGCATCCATTCTGGACACTTACAATTATTTTTTCCATATTTTTTATTCTGCTTTCATACATGATAATGCAAAATATTTAATTTTACCTTAAAAATAACGCTTTTATGTTGTGTTTTTAGATCACAAGTGTTCCTGGGTCATCTAAAAAACCGGTAAATATTTGTGAACTAAGTTTTACTTTTTTGTGTGCATGTTCTTGTTATTTGAATGTATTTTTTTCTTCAAATTTTTCTATGCTTTGTGACATTATAAAGTATTAGGTTCTTTTCTGTTTATTTGAAAAAAAAAGGTTAAATAGTATTTTAAGCATTACATTCAAAGTTATTAAACCATTAAAATGTATTTCACAGATATTGATTAATATGTTGATTAAGAATACTAAAAAAATTCACGTTGTTATAAATATGTGAACACAGAGGTGACTGTGCTCCGGAAAAACTCCGGATTTCCGGATTTTTCCCTAACTGCGCTCCGGAAGTTTCCGGAAATCTTAGGTCAGAAGTTTTATGAAATCATCAATCACATTTATGTATAAAAATTCTTGAAAATCTTATTTAAAAATATTAGAACTAGGCCATGGCACAGAATAGATCAAGATGGCAGAAACTTTTTGGGACGGCCTTGGTCTGTCATAGACTGTAGTGCCCAAGAAGAAGAACTAGAATTTATATTTGGCATCTTTCATTTGTAAATATTTTTTCTGGTAGAATAATAAATGCGAGGAGAGATAAAAATAAACTTACGCATAACTATTCATTTAAATTATGCTGTATAAAATTTATTTAGAATTCAATGTTTTGAAAATATCAATGATTTAAATTTATAAAGACATTATGCATCTTTAATGATTTTACTCAAGAAATTTTCCGGATTTTTGAGTTGGACTCACAATCACTCCTGTGAACATGATAAAAAAGTTCAATTACTAAAGATCTTATTTTGCTTTTATATTGTGTTTTCAGGGCAAAAGTGTCCATTGGTCAGCTGACACACAGGTAAATATGTGATATTTAATTTTTACTTTTTCGCTGCATATTCTTTTTAATTTAATGTTTTTTTTTTCTTTAAAACTTTTCTATGCTTTGTGACATGATTAAGTATTAGGTTCTTTTCTGTTTATTTGAAGGAAAAAAAAGGTTAAATAGTATTTTAAGTACCAAATTAAAAGTTATTAAACCATTATAATGTATTTCACAGCTATTGAATAATGTGTTGATTAAGAATACTAAAAAAATTATTCTTGTAATAAATATGTGAACATAAAAAAGTCTGATAACTAAAGATCTTGAATACTTATATTTTTACTTTACAATTCCACTTAACAAACAGATAAGCATTTAATATTTAAATATTTTTTTAGTAGTTCATGTATGTAAAAGTTGTTGACCTCTTCGGTTGTTAGTGTATATAAAAATGTTATAATTCAGCATTATTTACATTAATGTCATTATTTAGCAGTGTACAATTTGTAGCATTAATATCAATTAATTGTTCTGAATTAAGTATTGAAATAAAAAAAAAACATAAATAAGGGATGTTTTCTTCTGTATGCTATCAATAATCTAAGTTACTAAGAAAAATGAGCTTTGTCGTAAAAAGTTGGTTCCTAAAATTTATTTAAAAAGTATTTTTAATTCACAATTGCAGTATTTTTAAAAAAATTCATATTCATTTTTTAAATTTATAATGTACCGATAACCATATGAAAAAAATAAGATATCAAAAACCATGTGGAAATCCATAGCAATATTTTTATTTATGTCCCAAAATAAATTAGTGGCACCTGCCTTTGTACCAAGTAAGTTCTGCTAACCGGTACATATGAATGCATATAATCCTATTAATTAAAAAAACCTCTCCTAGAAAATATTCTTTGGCTGTGCTTGATAAGCTTTTTATATTATCTAATGATTTTTGTTTTTAAATTAGGATTTTCAGAAGTGGTAATAAGCTGTGTAATTTTTATTTAAAATTCATATAAATAAGAATTGCGTAAACTCATTTATCACTGCAGGTATTTGGCATGAAAGATGCACCTGGCCTTCCAGTTAGTAAATTAATTTTGTAGAAGGCAGAATTAGTATTTTAAATTAAAGTCAGTTTTAAATTCAGATAATCCTTTAATTTGTTTTGTGATTATGCTGCATATCTGCAACAAGTAAATCTTTTATATTTTGTGGAAAATGATGTTTTTTCAACAACATTGCTATTATCAATGTTTGTAAAATACCTAGGATTCATGATTAACGATGCTATTTCATGTTACACTAGCCATTTTTTAATGGTTAGGTCTGTATAAAAATTATTATTTTTTACATAATTTTAAAAAGTAATATTTTGATACATGTATTGTTGCTCAAGAAATTAATTTTTTTTTAAAACTTAAACAGAGTAAGATTTATACTAAAAGTCTATTTTGGAACAGTTTTTTTTAAAATTAAAGTGACCCATTTTGTTTACTAACACACACACACACACATATATATATATATATAACAACANTTATTCTGCTTTTATAATGGATAATTCAAACTTCTTAATATTGCTTTAATAAGATAATAAATTTATTGTGTTTTTGGATAACCTTCACGCAGGAATGAAGCTGGTAATTATTTTGGAATTATTTTCTTTCTTTTTTTGTGTACAATCGGGTGATAGTGTATTTAATTATTCAGTTTTCTATTTTTTATGTGACGTTAACTGGTTTATGTTAGTAATCAAAAAGATTAGGTTTATTACTTTTTCTAAAATTCATTTCAGAAAAGGAAAAGGAAAAGCGAAGGTTCCGATTCTTCATCTAAGAAACAGGTATTTTTGTAAACTTTTTGTTTAATTTTTTTAATGTTTATTTAAAATTTAATTATTTTTTCTCCAAATTTTATCAAATTTGATTATTTAATTTTGGCATTTCTTGGCATTTCTAAATTTTAGCACTATAACTTTGTAGAGTATCAATTTGACCCAAATGATGCTCTCCATTTTTTGAGCATAGTAGTTTATTTGATTATTTAGTTTTCTATGCTTTATATGACATTAATTAGTTTTATGCTGGCAATCAAAAGGATAAAGTTATTTACTTTTTCTATAATTTATTTTCTTTTCAGCTTAAGAGTTGTATAAGATTAGGTCATTTACTTTTTCTAAAATTCATTTCAGAAAAGAAATAGCGAAAGTTCTGATTCTCCAGATAACAAACAGGTATTTTTTGTTTAATTTTCTTAATGTTTTATTTAAAATGTGATTATTTTTGCAAATTTTAGCAAATTTGATTATTTCACTTTTGGCATTTTTTGGCGTTTGTAAATTTTAACAGTCTAACTTTGAAGATATGCTCCATTTTTTGAGTATAGTAGTGTATTTGATAATTTAGTTTTCTATGCTTTATATGACATTAATTAGTTTTCTGTTAACAATCAAAAGTATAAAGTTATTTGCTCTTTCTATAATTTATTTTCTTTTCAGCTTAAGAGTTGTATAAGATCTGATTCTCCAGATACAAAACAGGTATTTTTTGTAAATTCTTTGATTAATTTTTTTAATGTTTATTTAAAATGTGATTATTTTTGCAAATTTTAGCAAATTTGATTATTTCACATTTGGCATTCTTTTAGCGTTTCTTAATTTTAACACTAACTTTGGAAACTATCAATTTGACCCAAATCAAAGTTTAATTAATCACCACAAGAAAAGTATTTCAAAAAAATCCTTTTCTAACTTTTCATAATTCAAGTATGCAACAACTTGCAGGATTTGAATTTGCAAACATAATTAAATGAGGTATTATTGACACGTTTAACTGGAACTGTAATACAAGTTGACCCTTAAATAAATTTAATGCATTTATGACGAAAGATAAAACATTTTTTTCCTTTGAAATAATAAAAATATGTCTGTCTTGCAATCAAAATCCTCAAATAATCGGAGCTGATTGAGAGATAAATGAAGGTTTTCATTTTAGGTACGTATATCTGTGGTAGTCTGCAAAGACTGTTCTAATTCAGAGAGAATTATTTTAACTATTTGAAGTATTTTTTTAAAGTAAAAATTTATACAAAAGCAGATGATAATGTTTCTATTTTAAATACTTGATTACTTGCTTGTAATGAAAATAATTTGTATTCCGTTGAATAAAATGAAAGTTGACTCAGGCAATGCCCTAACAATTGCTGGATTTTCTTGTCGTGATAATTAAGATAATTTTTTGGATAAAACTAAAAAATCAAAAATTCTAAGAGAAGGAGTATGAACTAAGAAATCTAAAATAAAAATCAGCAATAACTTTCAAAGTAGGAAATAATGAAGTTTGAAAAGATGGAACAGTGTGGAATGCCACACACTTAGATACAAAGAATGTAGGAAGAAAAATAAAAGCATAATATTTGGAAGAAAGTTGGGAAACCATACCACATGCTACACACAATCTTATGGATGATAGTCTATTAAATACCTGAATCCTCTTCATAGATTATTGGTTATCAAAACATACAAGAAAAATATTCTAAAAAATGAAGCTCATTAACAAATTCGTAAAATTCGATGGATCATGACATTAGAAGAAACTGATGCTTTTATATCATTTTTATATGCACGATGTTGCATCAGTTTTAAGTGACATGGTTATAATAAAATTCTGTGGTAAAAGGAAATTTCATGTTTCAAAATAAATGACCCTCATCCATATTTTGTTAGGAGGAATTGAATACAAACAGAAACATTTGGAATACAAGTTGTACGTGAGTGATGTTACAAAGAGTTCTCATTCTTTGTACTTTCAATGTTCTTGATCAAGAGAAGATTTGCTTAGAAAGTTATCAAATGGCAACAGGTTTTGACACAGGATTGGATAATAATGGAATTTGCCAATCAGATAAAGAATATTCTTTTATTTTTCTTCCTGCAATTCATTTGCTTATTGGTGCTGGCATAACAGACAAGATCATGGCTGGAAAAATCCTTAACTTTACTTCTGGGCTAACAGACATAGAAACATTAGGGTGGACACTTTTGGGAAAATCATCTGACAGTTCTAAATCTCGTAGCAGTGCCTTGATGGTGACAAGTTTACTTTTTAATGGCATTAGTGATCTATAGAAGTTAGAAACCATAGGAACTACACCAAACTGAATAAAAAAAGATGACTAAAATACATCATGATACTATTGAATGCTTTAAAAGAACTCTTAACAATCAATGAAGGAAGCAGATACGAGGTCCCCCTGCCCTGGGTGTTGGAGTTGTCCAAGTTACCTGATTACAAAAAAACGGCAGAAAAGTATCTGAATACTTTTTAAAGCTTAAAGAAACAGGTGGGCTTGAAGAATACACAGATGTCTTCAATAAAGGGAGTGATGTGTTGGAGTTGTCCAAGTTACCTGATTACAAAAAAAAAAAAAAAAAAAAAAAAAAAAAAAAAAAAAAAAAAAAAAAAAANAGCTTAAAGAAACAGGTGGGCTTGAAGAATACACAGATGTCTTCAATAAAGGGAGTGATGGAAGCATCATTGAGGAAATCAAAGATAAGAAAGAATTAAACATGCATCATCTGCCTCACTGAGTGCTGGTTAGGGAGAATAGCACAACCACTAAAGTTAGACCTGTAGTTGATACTGTAGCACATCTGAAGAGTATGCTGTCTCTGGAGAGTGGATTTATTTTTCACTCTGAGTTATGCATATATGTGTAGGCGTTAGCCTTGAACGTTCAGATGGCTTAATGATTTTAGAGAATGAAGAGCTCCCAGAGTTTTGTCTGTTATTTTGATTGTCCATGTATCTTTGTATCTGTGTCTTTCTTATGAAATGTGTTTGTGAACATTTGGTACTTGTTTTCCTTTTGTATGGATCTGCTATGAAAACATCGGGTGGATTTTTACTGATTAAGATAAATTTGGAACTGGTTGCACACAACAAAGTTTTAGTGGTGCCCAACGTGGGGTCCGATATAGCAGTTTTTTTTATAATGGTAACAAACATGGAATTACCCCAATTAAAAGTTCTTCGAAAGAGTTAGCGCACTTTCTTCACAATTTGTGCAAAAAAAATTGGATAATGAACTGAATAAGGAGATACAAGATATGAAAGCCATCTCAGTTTCAGAAATGCGGCTGAAAGACAAATTTTCTTGTTTGGAAGAAAGTCAAATAAATATTTTTGAGGCCCTTTTGTAGTGAAATGAATAAGAATATGAAGATTTCAAAGCCGCAGAAACCTATAGAGATAGGTTCTTAGAACTGTGCTCTTGATCTGAAAAAACTTCAAGATTCCTCAGCCAATGGATGTACCCGAAAGAAGAAAATTTAAATTGCCTGTAATTGAACTTAAGAAATTTGTGGCGAAGCAAAAGACTACTTGATATTTTGGTCTCAATTTTCAAAAATTCATGAGGGTAAAACGTTATCCGACGATGATAAATTTTACAATCTAATAAATCTATAATACCCAATTCCAAAGCTACTACAGTTATCGAATCTTTTCCTGCAACTGCTGCAAAATATCTGAAAGCAATTGAACAGTTGAAAAATAGATTTGGGTGAGAGGAATTACTCGTACAGATTTATGTGAGAGACCTACTGTCACTAGTGATGTAAAAAGCTGTTGCTGGAAGGATTAAAGCAGACCTCCCCTCCCTTTACGATGAAATCGAAGGAAAGCTGAGAGTCCTCGAAAGCTTAGGTAGAACGGAGGAAAAGTATGGTGACTTTTTGAGCCCTCTTATTGAATCTTGTTTACCCGAAGACCTCCTTATTGCTTATGAAGGTAGTAGGAACATTAGAGACCCTGAAGGTGATGAAAGAAATTTGAAACATTTAATGGATTTTCTGAAACAAGATGTAAGTGAAGAGATGATAATCCTAGAAAAAACGGAGTTTTCATATCATTATAACTATCGAAAAAAAGCTTACGCATGTGAAAAGGTACATAGTGATAAATTAAATGTTTCGGATAATACAACTGCTTTGAGCTTGGTAAGTAGCAGTTATCCGGAAAAAGAAGGTATGAAATTTCTAAATTGCATTTATGTGAAAAGAAGCATCCCACTAGAAAATGTTTTCATGCTAGAAATATGAGTATAGAAAATAAAATAAAAATTTTAATTAGGAAAGGGGCATGCTTCTCATGTTTTTGTTTGGGACTTACTTCTAGATTTTGTAAAGTAAAAAATGTATGCATGAAATGTACCAAAAGTCATCATACTTTTATGTATCGTAATAATTCTGATGAATGTGATAAAAAAGAAAATGAAATTGTTGAATCTAATACATTAGCTAATAATTATAAAAATGTAAATATTTTTCTGATGACAGTAACTGTTAATATAAAATTTAAAAATAAAGAATTAATAACTTGATCTTTGATGGATTCTGCTTCTCAACATTCCTATGTCAGTGATAGCATTGCTAAACAACTAGATTTTAAAGTGAAACAAAAGATATAAATGAGTCACAGGCTATTTGGGGGGAGAAAAACGGAAATGAAAATGCATAATGTTTATGATTCGAAGATATGTGATTTAGATGAAAAGTACTCATTTGAATTAGAAGCATTTTCTGAAGAAAAGATTTGTGGCTTCTTGCCTAAAATTAATGATACCTCATTAATTCGGGAATTAAAAAATAGGGGAATAGTTTTATCCGATAATAAATTTTGCGTTAATGAGATCAGTTTGCTATTTGGAGCAAAAATCATTGGCGCTTTGTTAACTCATTAACTAGTCGAATTGAAACCTAATTTATAATTGTTTGAGATGCTTTTTGGATATCTTGTGAGCGGGCAGTGAGTCAGCGAATATCAATGAAAATGATACTGTATCAATGAAATGTGGAAGACTTGTTAATTAGTGATTTATGGTCTTTGGAATCTATTGGTATTTTAGACCCCATTGAGAATGAGAAAAAAAGTTCTAGGGTCTTGGAAGAGTTTAAAAATAGCATAAAAATTCTTCCAGGCAGTAGATACGAACTTTATTTGTCATTTAAATCAACAATAACGGAATTGCCGACAAATAAAGAATTATCTTCAAGGCGTCACAGAAAAATGTGCAAATGTGCCATAGATAAATTATATCTTGAGGATTATAAAGCTGTTTTGAAAGAATGAGAAAACTTAGGTATAATTGAAAGAGTTACTAATAATTTTGATACTAGTTATTTTTTCCCCACCAGCCAGTAATTAAAAATAATTCTTTGACAATGAAAATTAGACCCGTGTTCGACGCTTTAGCCTGAGAAAAAGGAAAATGTTCATTGAATGATCATTAAAGGAACAAATTTGTTAGAAATTATACCTGATATAATTGATAGATGAAGAAGTTTTCCTATTGGTTTGTCAGCGGATATTGAGAAAGCGTTTTTAATGTTAGGGATAGCGTCTGAACACAGAGATTTTTCTTTCCGTCTGAAGAAGAAGAAATAATTTATAGACACTGCAGATTTGTTTTGGGTGTAACTTCGAGTCCATTTATATTAGCGGCATCGATTTCCCATCTTCTTGATTATGTAGGACCAGAGTATGAGTGTTTAGCTCAGAAATTAAGGCAGTCTTTTTACTTGACAATTGTGTGTCGGGTGTTCATTCTGAAGAGTAATTAAAGAATTTTGTAAAATATGCTGAAAATATTTTTGCTAAAAGATGTTTCAATTTAAAGGAATCGGGAGAGTAATGTTGATTGCGAATTTGTTTCCAAATGCACAGGCGTTACTAAGGTCTTAGGTATTTTGTGGGATCTGGACAAATATACACTAAGATGTAATATTAATTTAGATACGAAAATTAAGGAAGCATACGCCAAACAATATATCTTAGCAACTGTTCAGAGAATTTTCGATCCTTTTAGCCTAATAAGTCCTGTAACTTTACCTCCCAAAATTTTATTACAGGAAGCGTGGAATTTGAACTTAAATTAGGATACCCCTTTACCCGAGAATATTGGCAGAAAGTTCAAAAAATGGTTTGATGAAATACATACATTAAAGGGAGTAGAATTACCACATTATGTTGAAATAAACAATTCAACTGAGATGCACGTTTTTGTTGATGCGTGTAAAGAAGCATACTCGATGTGTAATTTTTTTAGATTGGAAACACCTACTGGAGTAAAGGTTCAATTGATTATGGCAAAATCTAGAGTTGCGCCGTTAAAAACTGTTACAATCCCCAGATTAAAATTAATGGCCTGCCGCAGTGGAATACGATTAGTGCATTCGGTAAGAATAGCTATGAACATTTCAGGTATTAAGACCACCTTTTAGAGTGATTCCATGGTGGCGTTATACTGGATTAAAGAGCTCAGGAACTGGACAATTTTTGTGTCAAGCAGAGTGAGAGAGATAAAGAGTCTTTTTCCGAATAATGAATGGCGTCGTTTATCAGGTAAAATTAATCCAGCATATTTAATTTCACGCGGGTGCACTCCAACACAATTAATGAAATCCCGATGGTGTTAGGGCCCAATATGGTTGATTGGCCTCTCACTGAATTAATTTGTACTGAATTGCCTGAAATATTAACTGAGAAAAGAAAGGTTACTTTATGTAACATAACTTTGTCAGAACAAGCAATACCTTGGTATGCTGTCAAATTTTCGAGTTTTCATAAAATTATTTGATTAGCTGCATGGGTACTAAGATTCATTAACAAAAGCGGAATGCTGGTTATTGAAAGACAAACAGGGGAATTGTCTATTACTGAGATAGAGAATGCTGAGATTCTTTTAACCCCATTAGTGCAATCCAAATTTTTGAAGATGTTAGATCAATTCCCAATTTATGTGCCTTTAAAGGTGAGAGGGATATTTTTCATGTCAGGACTAGAATCACAGAACAAATTGATAAACCATTTTTCTTATCTCCTATTCTTCCTGATAAGTGTATATTGACTCAAAGACTCGTTGAACATTTTCACCGGAAAAACCATCATGCAGAAAGTCAAATACTACTCAGCAAACTTCGAAAAAGGTTTGGATTTTAAGAGGGCTAAAAACAGTGAGAAGTATCATAAACCATTGTGTTAAATGCCAATGATTTAAGGCTAAATATTTCAGTGCTGAGTCTGTAGCTTTACTTCGTGATCTAATAGGATGTTCAGAAAATTTTTAAATTGTGGGAATTGATCTGGCAGGCCCACTTTACATAAAGCGAGGTGATAAAGTTTGGATTGTGCTTTCTACTTGCTCTCTTTTTAGAGTTATTCATCTTAAGACTGTTAATTCCTTAACAACAGATTGTTTTTTGTTATCTTTCAGACATTTTATAACAAGAAGGGGAAGACCCAAAATATTCAAATAATGGGACTAACTTTAGCGGGGCATTTAATTTTTTTATGTGAAATTGATTGGAACAAAATAGTTAAAGATACAGAGATGTATAGAATTTCTTGGAAATTTATCCCTCCTACCGCTGCCTGGTGGGGTGGTTGGTAGAGGAGGCTAGTTTGAGCTGTGAAGGATCTTCTTCAGAAAACACTAGGGAAAGCCATACTTACGTATGAAGAAGTGATAACAATTTTATATGAATGTGAGACAATTGTAAATTCATGTCCTCTAACTTATTTATCAGAAGATATGGAGGACTTGACCCCCTTAACACCTATGTTGTTTTTATCGGATAGAAATAATTTTGAAGTATCCAATATAGATGCACTTGAATCTCAAAATTTTCATAAAAGAGTAAAATTCATGTTAAGTTAAAAGAGAAACTTTTAGCATGATTTAGAAATGAATATTTCGGGTTACTAATTCAAAAACAGCACGAAGATCCTTGTAATCGTATGGTTAGGATGGGCGAAATAGTCTTAATCGGAGATGATGTTAAAAAACTGCAAAACTGGCCTTTGGCCAAAGTAGTTGATTTAATTCCTAAGAAAGATGGAAAAGTGAGAGCGGCCAATATGTCACATACAAAAAATTTATCCGTTAGAACTTTGATCCTGCGAAGGCTCCAGTGTTAACTACTGAGCCACCACCTGTACCACAACAGCCAGCAACATCACCTAAACTAAAAAGAACTCGTTATGGGCAATCTATAAAAGTGCCAAATATTTTGAGTTGCTGTTCAGCATCTCAAAAGGGAGAAGTGTGTGGAGAGTGGATTTATTTTTGACTCTGAGTTATGCATACATGTGTAAGCGTTAGCCTTGAATGGGCAGATGGCTTTATGATTTTAGAGAGTAAAGAGCTCTCAGAGTTTTGTCTGTTATTTTGATTGTCCATGTATCTTTGTATCTGCGTCTTCCTTATTAAATGTGTTTGTGAACATTTGGTACTTGTTTTCCTTTGTACGGATCTGCCATGAAAGTAGATAGCTGTAGATGTTTACACATTAAGATAAATTTGAAATAGGCCGCTCCCAGCACTGTCACTGAATGCATGTCTGGAAGCAGGTCCTAATTTGAGTGAGATTGTCCCTTTACTGAATCTTTTTAGAAAATGTATAATTGGAGTAACGTCAGATATTTAGAAAGCATTTATCCAGATTGATATAAGAGAAAAGAACAAGAATTATCTGAGGTTTCTTATGGAAAACCCATGAAAACCAAATGAAGATTTACAGGCATCATAAAGTGGTGTTTGGAATCATCTGCTGTCAGTTCCTTTTGGCAGCCTTTCGGACCACCACACTGAAAATTCTCTTGAAATTCTCTCTGATACTGCACAAATTCTGAGGAAGTCATTCTATGTAGACAATTGTGTCTGTAGTTAAAACATTGATGAAGCTAATAAATTTATATTTGAATAAAACATTTTGATGTCCTCAGGGAAGTTCAATCTTTCAGATTGGCAATCCAATGCTGAGCTAAAATTCCTGAATAGTTCTGAGAACCGAATTGTGCCTCCCATAGGTTTGAATTGTAATATACAAGATGATACTCTTATCTTGTAGCATTAATTACACAATGGATGAGGATCTGATTCTTAGAAAAGTCAATGACACTTTGTCACTTCTTAGCACGATGTATATTTGACCCACTTGACATCTCTTCTCCTATGATCATCCTTCCAAACTTGGAACCTAGGATAAAAATGGGATGATATTTTCTCCGAAGATTTTTTTAGCGAATTTTTAAATTGGCTGAAAAAAATTACTTACATTCAAATTTTACTATGCTTCCTGACATGATGAAGGTTTAGGTTCTTTTTGGTTCATTTGACAAAAAGAAGGTTAAGTAATATTTTAAGCTCCAAATTAAAAGTAATTAAATTGTTAAAAAGTATTTATTAGCGATATTGATTAATATTTTGATTAAGAATACTAAAAAAATTCCCGTTATGAATATGTGAACTTGATTAAAAAGTTCAATTACTCAAGATCTTATTTTGCTTTTATATTGTGTTTTCAGGACAAAAGTGTCCATTGGTCAGCTGACACACAGGTAAATATGTGACATTTAGTTTTTACTTTTTGTCTGCTTATTCTTGGAGATTTAATGTTTTCTTTTAAATTTTTCTATGCTTGGAGACATGATTAAGTTATATGTTCGTTTTGGGTCATTTGAAAAAAAAGTTGAATAATATTTTAAGCTCCAAATTAAAAGTTATTTTAACCATTAAAATGTATTTCGCAGATTGTGATTAATATTTTGATTTAGAATACTAAAAAAATTCTTCTTTTAATAAATATGTGAACATAAAAAAGTCTAATAACTAAAGATCTTGAATACTAATATTTATTACGTTACAATTCCACTTAACAAACAAATAAGCATTTAATATTTAAATATTTTTTTAGTAGTTCATGTATGTAAAAGACAGTTGACCTCTTTGGTTGTTAGTGTATATAAAAATGTCATAATTCAACATTATTTACATTAATGTCATTATTTAGCAGTGTACAATTTGTAACATTAATATCAATTAATTGTTCTGAATTAAGCATTGAAAAAAAAACATAAGCAAAGGATGTTTTCTTCTGTATGCTATCAATAATCTAAGTTACTAAGAAAATATAGGCTATGTCGTAAAAAGTTGGTTCCTAAAATTTTAAGTTAAAATTATTTTTATTGCATGATTGCAGTGTTTTTAAAAAATTTCATATTTTTTAAATTTTTAATGTACAGATAACCATTTGAAAAAAGTAAGGTGTCAAAAACCATGTCAATATCTTCATTTATGCCCCTAAATAAATCAGTGGCACCTGCTTTTGTACCGAATAAGTTCTGCTAAGTGGTACATATATATGCATATAATCCTATTAATTGAAAAAGCCTCTCCTGAAAAATATTCTTTGGCTGTGCTTGATAAGCTATTTATATTATCTAATGATTTTTGTTCTTTAATTAGGATTTTCAGAAGTGGTAATAAGTTGTGTAAATTTTATTTAAAATTCATATGAATAAGAATTGTGTAAACTCATTTATCACTGCAAGCATTTGACATGAAAAATGCACCTGGCCTTCCAGTTATAAATTAATTTTGTAAAAGGCAGAATTAGTATTTCAAATTAAAGTAAATTTTAAATTCAGATAATTTTTTAATTTGTTTTATGATTATGCTGCATATCTGCAACAAGTAAATCCTTTATATTTTGTGGAAAATGTTTGATGTTTTTTCAACAACATTGCCATCATCAATGTTTGTAAAATACCTAGAATTCATGATTAACAATGCTATTTCATATTACACTAACCATTTTTTAGTGGTTAGGTCTTTACAAAAATTATTTTTTTTTAATACTTTTAAAAAGTAATATTTTGATGCATGTATTGTTGCTCAAGAAATTTATTTTTTTTAAACTTTAGCAGAGTAAGATTTATACTAAAAGTTTTTTTTTGAATAGTTTTTAATGAAAGTGACCCATTTTGTTTACTAACGTATATATTTTTTATTCTGCTTTTATAATGGATAATTCAAACTTCTTGATATTGCTTTAATAAAACATTAAATTTATTGTGTTTCTTAGGATAAAATTGGCCTTCTCTCAAGAAAAAAACTGGTAATTATTTTGAATTATTTTCTTTCTTTTTTGTGTATAATAGGATGATAGTGTATTTAATTATTCAGTTTTCTATTCTTCATGTGACATTAATTGGTTTATGTTAGTAATCAAAAAGATTAGGTTATTTACTTTTTCCAAAATTTATTTCAGAAAAGCAAAAGCAAAAGTTCTGACTCTTCATCTAAGAAACAGGTATTTTTGTAAACTTTTGGTTTACTTTTTTTAATGTTTATTTAAAATTTAATTATTTTTTTCTTCAAATTTTAGCAAATTTGATTCTTTAATTTTGCCATTTCTTGGCATTTCTAAATTTTAACACTATAACTTAGTAGAGTATCAATTTGACCCAAATGATGCTCTCCATTTTTTGAGCATAGTAGTTTATTTGATTATTTAGTTTTCTATGCTTTATATGACATTAATTTTTTATGTTGGCAATCAAAAGGATAAAGTCATTTACTTTTTCTATAATTTATTTTCTTTTCAGCTTAAGAGTTTTATAAGATTAGGTTATTTACTTTCTCTAAAATTCATTTCAGAAAAGAAAAAGCAAAAGCTCATTGAGACCAGGATACAATATCGGCGTCTGGAGTTCTGATTCTCCAGATAAGAAACAGGTATTTTTTGTTAAATTTTTTTAATGTTTATTTAAAATGTGATTATTTTTGCAAATTTGATTATTTCACTTTTGGCATTTATTTAGCGTTTCTTAATTTTAACACTGTAACTTAGGTAACTATCAATTTGACCCAAATAAAATTTTAATTAATCAACACAAGAAAAGTATTTCAAAAAAATCCTTTTCTAACTTTTCATAATTCAAGTATGCAACAACTTGCAGGATTTGAATTTGCAAACATAATTAAATGAGGTATTATTGACACGTTTTATTGGAACTGTAATACAAGTTGACCCTTAAATAAATATAATGCATTAATGACGAACGATAAATCCTTTTATTCTTTGAAATAATAAAAATAAGTCTATCTTGCAATCAAAATCGATCCTCAAATAATCGGAACTGATTGAGAGATTAATGAAGGTTTTAATTTTAGGTATGTTTATCTGTGTTGGAGTGCAAAGACCGTTTAAATTCAGAGAGAATTATTTTTAATATCTGAAGTATTTTTTTAAAGTAAAAAATGATACAGAAGCAGATGATAATGTTTCTGTTTTAGATACTTGATTGATTACTTGCTTCTAATGAAAATAATTTGTATTTCGCTGCATAAAATGAAAGTTGACTCAGGCAGTGCCCTGACAATTGCTGGATTTTCTTGTCATGATAATGATGATTTTTTGGATAAAAATGAAAAAAAATCAAAAATTCTAAGAGAAGGAATTGAAACTACGAAATCTAAAATAGAAATTAGCAATTACTTTCAAAGTTGGAAATAAGGAAGTTTTAAAAGTTGGAATATTGTGGAATGTCACACAAATAGATACAAACAATAAAGGAAGGAAATCAAAGCATATTATTTGATGGACGTTTGTGTCCCACACCACATGCTACACGCAATCTTGGGAATGATAGTCTTTTAAATACCTGTATCCTCTTCATAGATAAATGGTTATCAAAACATACAAGAAAAATCGTCTAAAAATAAAGCTCATTAGCAAATTTATAAAATTCAATGGATCATAACATTAGAAGAAACTGATGCTTTTAAATCAATTTTGTATGCACTTTGTGTAACATGTGTTTTAACTGTATAGAATTAACTGTGATTGTAACTGGGACGTGATTGATGCTTTGATCTTTTGGATTGCTTGGAGGAGGTCATAGTTCATGTTCAGTACTTGTTCTGTTCAGGTTCAGGTCTAGTATGTTGCTGTCTAATTTATAATGGTTAATAAATATTTCTTAAATGAAACTTTAAGCTTTTCATTTCAGAGAGTAAATAAAGAAGCATGTTGTAGCATCAGTTTTAAATGACATGGTTATAATAAAATTCTGTGGTAAAAGGAAATCTCATGTTTTGAAATAAACGACCCTCATCCATATTTTGTTAGTTGGAATTGAAAACAGAAACATTTAGAACACAAGTTGTACGTGAGTGATGCTACAAAGAGTTATCATTCTTTGTACTTTCAATGTTCTTGATCAAGAGAAGATTTGCTTAGATATTTATCAAATGGTAACAGGTTTTGACTTGGGAATTAGATAATAATGGAATTTGCCGATCAGATAAGAGTGTTCTTTTTTTGTTTTTCAACAATTCATTTGCTTATTGGTGCTGACATTACAAAAAAGATCATGATTGGAAGCATCCTTAGCTTCACTTCTGGACTAACAGGCATAGAAACATTAAGGTGGATACTTTTGGAAAAATCACCTAACAGTTCTAAATCTGGTAGCAGTGCCTTGATGGTGACAAGTTTATTTTTGAATGACATTAGTGCTCTGTAGAAGTTAGAAACCATGGGAACTTCAAACCAAACTGAACAAGAAAAGAAGTCTGAAATACATCTTGATACTGTTGAATGCTTTTAAAGAACTTTTAACAATCAATGAAGGAAGCAGATACAAGGGTGTTGGAGTGGTCCAGGCTACCTGATTACTGAAAAATGGCAGAAAAGTATCTGAATACTGTTTAAATCTTAAAGAAACAGTTAGGCTTGAAAAATACACAGATGTCATCAATAAATGGAGTGGTGAAGGCATCATTGAGGAAATCAAAGATAAGAAAGAATTAATCACGCATTATCTCCCTCTCTGACTTGCCGTTCAGGGCACAATCACTATAGTTAGACCAGTAGTTGATACTTTAGCACATTTGAAGAGTACGCCGTCACTGAATCTTTTTAGGAAATGTATAATTGGAGTAACATTAGACATTTAGAAAGCATTTTTCCAGATTAAAATCAAAGAAAAGGACTGGAATTATCTGAGGTTTTTTTATGGAAAACCCATGAAAACAAAATGATGATTTACAGGCATCATAAAGTGGTGTTTGGAATCATCTGCTGTCCGTTCCTTTTGGCAGCACTTCAGACCACCACACTGAAAACTCTCCTGATGTTCTCTCTTATACTGCACAAATTCTGGAGAATTCATACTATGTAGACAATTGTATCTGTAGGAAGAAGAACATTGATGAAGCTAATAAATTTATATTTGAATAAAAAATTCTGATGACCTCAGGGAAGTTCAATCTTGCAGATTGGTAATCCAATGCTGATCTAAAATTTCTGAGAATGGTTCTGAGAGCAGAAAATGCCTCCATTAGGCTTGAATTGTAATATGCAAAACGATACTCTTATCATGCAGTGTTAATTAGTCAATGGAGGAGGATCTGATTTCTAGAAAAGTCAATGACACTCTGTTACTCTCTTAGTCTAAAGTATATTTGACCCACTTGGCATCTCTTCTCCTGTGATCATTCTTCCAAAGTTTTTACTTTAAAAAACTTGGAAACTAGAAAAAAATGGAATGATTTTTTTCTGACGATTTTTATAGGAGATATTTAAATTGGCTTGTCGAAGACAAAGTGCCTCGATCGATAAAACTCGGTCAAAGTGATGAAGAAACTGTCAGTTTTCATGTGTTCTGTGATGCAAGTGCAAAAGCATATCCTTCTTGTATATTTCTGCTAGTAGAATTACAGCAAGAAGTTACAGTTAGATTTGTGCGGTCTCTAGCCAGAGTCTCGCCTTTGAAAAACATAACAATTCCATGTCTTGAACTGCTGGCGTATTGTATGAGACCTAGACGGGGAACAAGTATAATTGAAGATCTTAAACTGGAATATTTAAAAGGATATGTTTCTGGTAAGTTAAATCTAGCGGACCTTTCTTTCATAGGATGTACAACTAGGAAAAAAATTCATATTCATCCAACTCAAATGGGAACTTCATGGGTTTATGACGCATAAAAAACTTGACTTTAGTACAGGAAGGTAGCAAATTAGGATCTGATAAATGCTGAGAAGAGAAAACTGTGTTTTCAATTCGCAATTATGCTGAAAAAGCTGCTCTAAAATTTGCTTGGACTCGTCGGTTTTGCAACAATTGTGTTAAGATCAATGCCAATGAAAAACCGTTTACACCGTAAAATTTCCTAAAAGATTGAACTTAAGAGAAGGGATAACCTGGTTGGTGGTCCACTTGTCCATGTCCTAGATGTTGTGGGTTCGATTCTTGTCAGCCGAAGACTCTCCGTGTAGTAAATGGTGACTGATGCACGTTAAATCTCTCCAGTCCCCCATGTTCCCATAGCAAATCAATATCTCTGGAGTTACTGATCCAGGAGTTTCTTTGTCTTCTGGTCTGGTTCAAAACTACAAGGCTACGGAGTTGAACAATTGTAGTTGTAAACCCAAAAATTGGGTCGGCTTTTCAACGACGGTTATAAAATAAAATAAAACGATTGAACTTGTAATTTGATTAATACAAAATTTTGAGTTTTATTTGTGTGAAAAACTGAAATGGTGGGACGTCACATCAGTTTAAGATGATGTCATGATTGTAAAGATTGTTCTATTTTACTTTTAAAAAGAAAACAATTCAACAACCCTCAATGGTAAGAGTTTAAATTCATGCAAATAAAGGACTAGTTGATAAAATTTGCAGTTCTGATAATTTTTATTTTTAAAAGTGATCTTGTATAATTAAATGATTGTTTTGAACCATCAGTAAAAGTCTCTGATTTTTTCATATTGTATGTGAGACATGTGATGTACATTGTGCAAAAGTGCTTGAGCTGGATATTTTGTGGTCAATGAACTGGGGACTACCATTTTTCTGAAATACAATGCCAAGATACAAATTTTGAGAAATAATGAGATTCCTTCACTTGTGATATCAAATCAACAAGATCAGATTGTCTACAGCCAGAAGGATTTTCCCTTGCATCTGATATTCAGAACTCTGTCTCGGAAAAGATCACGATGTAAATTCAACATTTCTCTCCTTCTTAAAATTTTTTTCCGCGTATTTTTGGTAATGTAATGTATTTTTTTCTATGCTTTGAGCCATGATTAAATTTTAGGTCCTTTTTGGTTCATTTGAAAAAAAAAAGTTCAATAATATTTTGATCTCCAAATTAAAAGTAGTTTAATTAAGAAACATTAAAAAGTATTTCACAGATATCTTGGTCAAGAATACTAAAAATATTCATCTTGTCTAAATATGTGAACATAATTAAAAAAGTTCAATTATTAAAGATCTTATATTGCTTTTATATTGTGTTTTCAGGGCAAAACTGTCCATCGGTTAGCTGAAACACAGGTAAATATGTGTGAACTAATTTTTGCTTTTTTTCTGCATGTTCTTGGCAATTTAATATTTTTTTTTCTTTTAAATTTTTCTGTGCTTTGTGACATGATTATGTTTTAGGTTCTTTTTGGTTCATTTGAAGAAAAAAAAGATTAAATTATATTTTAAGCTCCAAATTAAAAGTTATGAAACCATTAAAAAGTATTTCACATATATTGATTAATATGTTGAGTAGGAATAATAAAAAAATTCACTTTGTTATAAATATGTAAAAACAAAAAAGTCTAATAACTAATGATTTTGAATATGTATATTTATTACTTTACAATTCCACTTAACAAACAAATAAGCATTTTATATTTAATTATTATTTTAGAAGTTCATTTAGTAGTATGGTATGTAAAAGTTAATTTACCTCTTTAGATGTTCGTGTATTTAAGAATGTCATAATTCAACATTATTTTCATTAATGACATTATTTAGTTGAAGTCAGTAGAAGTCAAAAGACTGCAAAATAAACCTATTATATATAATAGTATTTTGGTTAAAATATTCTTAAGTAATAGATTACTTTATTATGAACAAAACAAAAAAAGAGAAATATTCTTCTGGGGCAAATTTCAGATGGGTTACAGCCTTTAATAGCTATTGTTTTGTAAATCAAAATTATGCCGAAAGAGCCATTTCTGCAAAAATATTGCCACTTATAACTTTTTAAACCTTTTCCTAATTCTAATATCATTATTTTCAAAGTCAGTATCAAAATATCTATAAGTGTACTATTTGTTTTTTTTAAGCAAATCTTTGATGGGAGAGGGGCTATTTTTTGAAATTCTGTTTGATTTGAAGGGAAACAGCGAGTTAAGCTTTTACAAAAATTATTTTTAAAAAATAATTATAAAAAGTAGATTTGTAAGCATATATTGTTATTTAAGTATGAATTTTTAATTTCTGACCATTAAACATTCAATGTTTTCTACTATCTGTTTATTTTGGAACAAATTCAGATGAAAGGCATCCATTTTGGACACTTACAATTATTTTTTCCATATTTTTTATTCTGCTTTCATACATGATAATGCAAAATATTTAATTTTACCTTAAAAATAACGCTTTTATGTTGTGTTTTTAGATCACAAGTGTTCCTGGGTCATCTAAAAAACCGGTAAATATTTGTGAACTAAGTTTTACTTTTTTGTGTGCATGTTCTTGTTATTTGAATGTATTTTTTTCTTCAAATTTTTCTATGCTTTGTGACATTATAAAGTATTGGGTTCTTTTCTGTTTATTTGAAAAAAAAAAGGTTAAATAGTATTTTAAGCACCACCTTAAAAGTTATTAAACCATTAAAATGTATTTCACAGATATTGATTAATATGTTGATTAAGAATACTAAAAAAATTCCTTTGTTATAAATATGTGAACATAAAAAGTTTAATAACTAAAGATCTTGAATATGCTTTTTTATTACTTTACAACTCCACTTAACAAATAAATAAGCTCTTAATATTTAAATATGTTTTTAGCAGTTCATGTATGCGAAAGTTAGTTTACCTCCCTGATGGTTGGTGTGTATAAAATGTCATAATTCAACATTATTTACATTAATGTTATTATTCAGAGGTATACAATATATAACAGTTATATCAATAAATTGTTCTAAAATAAACATTGAAATAAAAAAACATGAACAAAGGATGTATTTTTTTCGATGCTATCAAAAACCTAAGTCAGTAGAAAAATATGGACTTTGTAGTAAAAAGTTGGTTCCTAAAATTTTAAGTAAAAATTAATTTATTGCACAATTGCAGCATTTTTAAAAAATTGCATATTCGTTTTTTAAATTTTTAATGTGCAGATAACTGTATGAAAAAAATAAGATATCGAAAACCATGTGGAAATCCATTGTAATATTTTTATTTATGTCCCAAATTAAATCAGTGGCACCTGCCTTTGTTCCAAGTCAGTTCTGCTAACCCGTACATATATATGTATGTAATCTTGCAAATTTAAAAACCTCTCTTAGAAAATGTTCTTTAGCTGTGCTTGATAAGCTGTTATAATATCTAACGATTTTTGCTCTTTGATTATGATTTTCAGAAGTGGTAATAAGTTATGTAATTTTTATTTAAGATTCATATGGATAAGAATTACATAAACTCATTAATGCAGGCATGTTGACATGAAATATGCATTTGGCCTTCCAATTATTATTTTGTTGTCCACCATGATTTAATTAAAAAGAAATGTTGATTTTCCATAAGGAATATATAGAAATTAAATTTGTAAAAGGCAAAATTAGCATTTTAAATTAATGTTAGTTTTAAATTTAGATAATCTTTTAATTTGTTTTATGTTTATGCTGCATATCTACATTAAGTCAATGATCTATGTTAGGTGATTTAATTAGTTCAAAAAGTTATGTAATATATGAAACATGTATGATATATAAATTGATCTAGATTTTTTGTCAGTTAAATTTTCAGGAATCAGTTTCAAAAATCGATAATATTTTAATTTGTTTCATGAATATGCAGCATATCTGCAACAATTCAATGCTTTATATTTAGTGGAAATTTTTTTCTGTCTTTTCAACAACATTGCTGTCATCAACGTTTGTAAAATACCTGGGATTAATGATTAACGACGTTATTTCATATTAAACTAACCATTTTTTTGTGATAAGGTCTTCACAAAAAATATATTTTAAAAATAATTTTAAAAAGTAAGATTTTGATACATGTATTGTTACTCAAGAAATTAATTTTTTTAAGGCTTAAACAGAGTAAGATTTATACTCAAAGTTTATTTTGGAATAGTTTTTAATGAAAGTGATCATTTTTGATTACTAACATATATACTCTTTATTCTACTTTTATAATGGATAATTCAAACTTCTTAATATTGATTTAATAAAGCATTAAATTTATTGTGTTTTTAGGATAAAATTGGCCTTCACTCAAGAAAAAAACTGGTAATTATTTTGAATTATTTTCTTTCTTTTTTGTGTATAATAGGGTGATAGTGTATTTGATTTTTCAGTTTTCTTTATACGACATTAGTTAGCTGTTTGTTAATTAGACTTATAAAGATAAAATTATTTACTTTTTCTAAAATTCATTTTTCTTTTCAGATTAAGAGTGGCAAAAGCTCTGTCTCTTCATCTAAGAAACATATATTTTTTGTAAGTTTTTTATTTAGTTTTTCTAATGTTTATATAAAATGTAATTTTTTCTTCAAATTTTAGCATATTTGATTATTCAACTTTTGGCACTTATTTAGTGTTTCTAAATTTTAACACTGTAATTTTGGAGAGTATCAATTTGACCCAAATCAAAGTTTATTTAATTACCACACGAAAAGTATAAATTACAAAAAAAGTCCTTTTATAACTTTTAATAATTAAATGTATAACAACTGGCAGAATTTGATCGTGCAGACATGCTTAAATGAGGTATTAGTAGCACGTTTAACTGGAACTGTAATACATGTTGACTCGTAAATAAATTTAATGTATTAATTACAAAATAGAAATCCTTTTTTTCTTGGAAATTATAAAAGTATGTCTGTTTGCAATCAGAATCCTCAAATAATCCGAACTGGCTGAGAGATAAATCAAGGTTTTCATTTAAGGTATGTGTATCTGTGTTGGTGTGTAATGCATTCTGGGGGAATTATTTTGACTATTTGAAGTATTTTTTTAAAATAAAAAATGATTCAGAAGCTGATGATTATGTTTCAATTTTGAGTAGCGGTTATGATTACTTGTCATGAAGACAATTTGAATTCCGCTAAATAAAATGAAAGTTAACTCCAGCAGTGCCCTAACAATTGCTGGATTTTTTTGTAAAAATAAAAAATTCTAAGAGAAAGAATACAAACTAAAAAATTCAAATAAAGATATCAGCAATAACTTTCAAAGATGGAAATAATGAAGTTTAAAAAGATTGAACAGTGTGGAATGCCTAACAATTCAATACAATGAAGGCAGGAAGAAAAATCAAAGCATAGTATTTGGAAGAAATTTGCTACAACTTCCTAATGCTATCTTATGGATGATAGTCTGTCAAATACGTGGATCCTCTTCATAGATAAAGGGTAATCAAAACATACAAAAAAATGTTGTAAAGGTGAAGCTCATTAGCAAATTTATAAAAATCAAAGGATCATAAGATTAGGAGAAACTGATGCCTTTATGCACATTTATATGCACATCGTCACATCAGTTTTGTTGTTGTGTCCAATCCTTCAGGATCTAGCTTTAGCTAGATCAGATCCATGAGACTATTTACCCTAGCAAAGTCCACCACCAGAAGTGGACTTGCATGTTCATCTTCATCTTCCTAAGCTAACCCCAAACAAACGAGGATATGTCCAGAGGAAGCCGGTAACAGATAACACTTTGTGCAAATCTGGTAGACCTTTTGGCCGGATACAAAAGTCATGCATTTCAGATGACCACTTATAAGTCTCGAGACAGCCGTTTGATATTTTCTGTCTCCCTTGAACTCCAGAGCCCCCCCTGGTCATTTCCTACTAATCCCGGGATGGGCGGGAGGGGCCAGCCAGACTTGCTTACCTTTAAATTTTACCAAAGAGAAAATCTCTTGATAGGTAAGAGCATAATCAGTGGTCGCCAACACAGAGCAGCCTCTTTTTGCTAAGATATTTGCGACTTCACTTCCAGGGATGTTAACAAGGGAGGGGAACCATTGAAAGTGGACATCCCTGCATTTTACTATAATTTTAAGCTTATTGATAATTTGAATGCTCACAAGGCCATCTACAAGACTACAATCCTGCAAGTGTTGAATGGAGCTTCGGCTATCAGTAAGGATTCATACATCACTAGAGTCTGTACTATGGAGAATGGCCTTTAATCCCTCGTCTATAGCAATTAATTCACTTCTGAGGACTGAACAGTTATCTGGGTTGCGTCTTGAAAGCCGGACAGATAGATTCTCGATAAAGATACCGCTCCCTATGTGATTCAGCTCATCCTTACTGCCATCTGTGTATATCAAAATGGCATCACTCGGAATACCATTTATGATCTCGAGAGCCATCTGTTTAAAGTATTCAGAGACATCTGAGTTTTTGTTTGTGTGGGATAGAAGTTCAGTGTGGAAGTGAACTCTAGGTAAGCCCTCAATTGGGCTGACACAAAGTCTTGTAGATGAATTCTCCTCTGATTGGGAAATGATCTTCATATTATCAGCCAGACCAAATGGGCTATTCCTTTTTAATCTCTGGTTGTTTCTCCATTTACATAGGTATTCAGAGGTTCAATTCTGATTTTCATAACTTCTTAACTTGTTAAAGTATTTAACTAAGTTCGAGTTTCTAACTAGACCAAGAGGTGGAAGATTTGTCTCGTAAAGTACTATGTCATTTGGGCAGCTGTTTCTCAAGCCTGTTATAATGCAAGCTGCACTTAATTGCACTCTTTCTAATTAAAGGAGGTTAGATGGTGAGGCGCAGAAGTATACTGGAAACCCATACTCTAGGATAGACTTAATCAGCACAATATACGTTGTCCTGAGTGTTTTAGCATCAGCATATCAGTTTTAAATAAGTAAGATTGTAAAGATTATTCTGCGGTATAAGGAAATTTCACTTTTTGCAAGAAACTACCCTCATCTATATTTTGTTTGGTGGAATTGAAAACAAACAGAAGCATTTATAAGACAAGTTCTTTGTGAGTGATGGTAGAAAGAGTTATCATTCTTTCAATGTTCTTGATCAAGAGAAGATTTGCTTAGAATTTTATCAAATGGTATTAGAGGTTTTGACTAAGGAATTGGATGATAATAGAATTCGCTTGTCAGATAAAGAATGTTCTTTTTTTGTTTTTCTACAATTCATTTGCTTATTGGTGCAGAAAAGATCATTACAGAAAAGATCATGACAGGAAAAATCCTTAACTTCACTTCTGGACTAACAGACATAGAATTATTAGGGTTGACACTTTTGGGAAAATCACCTGACAGTTCTAAATCTCGTAGCAGTACCTTGATAGTGGCAAGTTTACTTTTGAATGACATTTGTGATCTATAGAAGTTAGAAACCATAGGAATTTCTGACCAAACTGAATAAAAAAAGAGTATTAAAATACATTATGATACTTTAGAATGCTCTCAGAGAACTCTTATGATCAATAAAGAAGGCAGATACGAGGTCGCCTTGCGTGTTGGAGTGGTTTAGGCTACCTGATTACAGAAAAATTGCAGAAAAGCATATGAATACTGTTTAAAGCTTAATGAAACTGGTAGGCTTGAAGAATACACTGTCTTCAATAAATGGAGTGATGAAGGCATAATTGAGGAAATCAAAGATGAGAAAGATTTAAGCGTTCGCTATCTCCATCACTGACCGCTGTTTAAGGATAATAGCACAGCCACTAAAGTTAGGCTTGTAGTTGATACTTTAGCACATTTGAAGAGTAAGTCATCACTGAATGCATGTCTTGAAGCAGGTCCTAATTTGACTGAGCTTGTCCCTTTACTGAATCGTTTTAGAATATTTACAATTAGAGTGACATTAGAGATTGAGAAATCATTTATCAAGATTGAAATCAGAGAAAAGGCTAGGAATTACCTGAGGTTTCTATGGAAAACCCATGAAAACATAATGAAGATTTACAGGCATCATAAAGTGGTATTTTGAATCAGGTGCAAAACCTTTCTTTTGGCAGCACTTTGGACCACCACGCTGAAAACTCTCCTGATGTTCTCTTAGATACTGCACAAATTTAACTCATTCTATTTAGATACTTTTGTCTGTACTTAGAAGAACATTGATGAAACTAATAAATTTATTATTATATCAAAAATGTTGATGTCCTCTGGTAAGTTCAATTTACGAGATTGGCTAATCTAAAATTCCTGAATGGTTCTGAGAGCCAAATTGTGCCTCCCATAGGCCTGAATTGCAATATACAGGATGATACTCTATCTTGCAGTTTTAATTACCCATTGGTGGAGGATCAGATTCTTAGAAAAGTCAATGACATTCTATCACTCTCTTAGCACAAAGTATATTTGACCCACTTGGCATCTCTTCTTCAGTGATCATCCTTCCAAAGTTTATGCTTACAGAAACTTGAAACCTTGGATAAAAATGGGATAATATTTTCTCCAAAGATTTTTCTAGAAGATTTTTAAATTGGTTTAAAAAAATACAGCACCTGAAAAACGTAACAATTGCACGTCTTGAACTGTTGGCATGTTGTATTGGATCTAGATGGGAACAAGTATAATTGAAGATATTAAACTGGAATATTTGAAAGTCTTATATTGGACTAATTCATTGACTGCACTCAACCGGATAAAAAGAGATTCTCCATGGGGAACTTTTGTGTGGAATCGAGTCAAAGAAATGCATGTTCTTACAGATGTCAATCAGGGGAGATATATTTCTGGTAAATTGAATACAGCGGACTTTTCTTTCATAGGATGTACAACTGAACAATTCATTCACCTCAAATGAGAGGAGGGTCCTTCATGGGCGTATGACACAGAAGAAAATTGACCGCAATACGCAAAAGTAACAAATGAAGATCTGCTAAATGCTGAGAAGAGAAAAACTACTTTCCACTAGCAATTAATGTGAAAAAACTAACGAGGAATTAATGAAGAAACTAATTCTGGATGACTGCAGATGTTCGGTGTTTGATAATGGGATTCCCATGTCTTGTAAAATATCACGATGTAAATTCAATGCTTCTCTTTCTTTTTATTCCTGCATGTTCTTGGTTAAAAAAAAATCACTATGTCCATTCAAAGTTTTTCTTTCTGAACGTCTAGTTCTGCAATTGCTTTCTATATCTCAACAAAATGATGTGTAGACGTGATTGACCAGATGAGAAGGAAATATACTGTCAAAGCTTTTTCACATAGTTTTTTTAAATAACATTTTGGATTATGCGGCTACCAATGCTTGGATTTTATACGAAGCTGTAATTGGAAAATCTATTAGTAGGCCAAGGCTTAATTGAAGAATTGCGAAAAAAGTTTATTCTTTTCTGACAGAAAAAGGTAACACATGTGAACTATTGAAAACAATAATACCCACAAGCTGATACCCCCAAGCTAAGTGTAAATGAGTTTGATGCCACAGTTCAAAATGTGAAGATGAAATTCAAAATGTTTGTTCAAATTATGAAGCACCCCTTTGTGGTTAAAGTACAAAGCTTACTATTTTGTGCAGAGTGCATATGATAAATTGGATTAAAAAAATCTGTGAAACTAGTAAATAAGGGGTATTTCTTTTAATATTTCTTTAGTAGAAATTACATCTAAATTTATTTAAATAAGATATTCCATTTCCCCCCTTTATAATTAAAAAGTAGGAGCTATATTTTAAACAAAAAAAAGGTTAATTTACTTAATTGGAATAACTTTTTCATTTATATGATTTTCTAAAAAAAAAAGCTATTTCTGTTTATTTATACAAGATATTATATACATATATGATGTTAATATGATATTAATGGATTATATATGATATTAATGGAGTGGGTATAAATGTAATTGATACCCACTCCTTGGTTCTAGGTATATTCTAAATCCTGCCGTTCTTGTGTTAAGTTGTAGTATAAAAGTAAAGCCATTCCCTAGTGCAGCCAAAAAAATTTTTTTATAGCATTAAAATTTCACCAAAAAATATTTATAAATATAGTTTGGCTGTACTACCTCATCAGTAGCAATGAGTTTGTAATTTATATTCCAGATTTATATAAACAATTATTACATGAATTCATTGTGACTTTTGGCATTTGACGTGTGAGATGCACTGGGCCTGATTATTATCGTCTAGGCCCAATAGCCCTAGGCCTAGGGCCCACAATTTCTGAGGGACCTCAAAATTAGGAAAAAAACCTCTCAATATTACTGTTTCTTTTAAATACTGAAAGAAACAGTTTTTCTTAAAAGATGCATTTCAAAAAATGCAAATTTTACAGCTGAATTTTAATTGGTGCAATTTTTATGCAAACAGCTTGAACAAATGCAACGAGAATGCACATTCGCTAAGTCTCTTATAAATGATGAGTGCCAACAAGAGTTATAAGCTTATTCCTAACAAGTATGTAAAGCTGTAGACGGAGAGCTACAATCTTAGATGTTGATGTTTTAAATTGATTTTCACACTTCTGTAGTATTAAAATTTTAATTTTCTTGATTGTTTTGGAATGATGAAACCTAGTTTTCAATCTGGTTGCACAGAAATAAAGAAAAAGGCTTTAAATGATGAAGCCTACAAAAAAATATGAGCAATTCTTTATCAAGATATTTCTCTGCAGATAAAGTATAGCCACCTGTTTCCAATGAAGCTGCTCTCATCGAGTACTTGATTAAATTTTTTGTTCGAGAGTTTCAATAGAATCCATTGAGAGTTTTAAATTTATCAATATTTTGAATATAACTTTTTCATTGAATATTAATTTTTTAAAACGTGTTATATCTAAATAAGTTATTATTTAAATGTGTTTGTGAATTTTTTTTGGAGGAGATAAAATTTTGGATCTTTTGGTAATTTTTACAGTATTAAAATGTATTTTTTATTAAAAATTCGAATAAATAACCGTAATATTTTAGAATACATGCTGAACTACTCGTTAAGTCGTTTAATGTAAGTGGGCTAGTTTTGTGTTGGTTTAAGTACTAAATAAAAAATAATTGAAGCTTACAATGAAAAATATTTCAGCTAATCAATGACTTATAGCTAAAATCATTGATTTCAATTGTTTGCGGTCTTCAAACTATTTTTATTTTGACATAACATTGTTTTATATTTTGCTTTAATTCAAAGATGCGTAAACTTTATTTTAGAAAAATAGTCTTCAATTGTCTGCTATCAAAATTTCTTAGAATGTTCTTCTTGAATCTTTCAATAGATTCTTTTTTATTGTTAGGACTGCTCTTCAGTAATTTTATTTCAAAATATTTTGTAAGGGGCCTGGAATATTTGGTGGGCCTTGGGCCTGAATTTGTCTTAATCGTTCCCTGGAGATGCACCTAGCCTGTCAAGTAGTATTCTGAAGTCTACCATGATGTAATTAAAAGAAAAACGTTATAATAAACGATATATAGGAAGGAAATATGTAGAAGGGAGATTTAATATTTCAAACTGAAATTATTTTTAAATACAGTGGAAAGTCGCGTATCCGGAATCGGCGGGACTTTCCGAAGGCGTATATTTGATTTTTCCGTATAATTGACCTCCAAGGTAAACAAAGCTTAAAATGATCTGAATCTAAGAAGCAGAAAACAAATAAACATTATTTTTCGGGAAATAATGTTTTAGTATAAGAATGATATCTAATCAATCATAAACAAAATATTAGAAAAAAAATAATTATTGCTATTTTAAAAATAAATATAGAAAACGAAAAAAATTCACAGTTATGAAAATATTAATTGCTCTCTCCGCCATTTGAACTAGAACGATTCAAGCAAGAAGGGGAAATTCCCATCATTCATTAAGGTGAGTAGGTGGAGAAGAAAAATTCATTTCCTCCTTACTTGTCATTCAAGTTGAGGGCGGGGTAGTGACAAATTCTTATTTTCTCTCCCATCATTGGCTATCAATCAAGCATAAAGGCATGGCATGGTGATTGGGTTCTCTTTATTTTTTCTTGTGTGACTAAAGGGGATTCCCCCTCCACTTTAACATTTGCTGTGTTTACCCTTTTTCACAGTATTTCTTCTTCCCCTGACGCTCAAATAAAAAGGTTCCAGGAAATGCCTCTTTTACTAGCCAGCTGCATAGGAAAGAAGGGGGAGGGAGGGGACTCAGTTGTGCTCTTTTGAAAACAAATCCCCCCCCTTTCCTGCATTCCAGAGGAGGAGCCTCATGGTCTTAGTAGATCTTCCGTTCTTTTTTTCTGTTGATTTATGGGTTCAATGCATAGATCTCTAGAAGCTGAGAAGGAGAAAAACCTGTCAAAAGACTTNGAACCATTCAATGTAATAACCTTGGTAAGGAGAGGGGAAGATGAAGAAATGTTTGTTTATTTTGATTGTTAAAAAGTGTCCGGGACCCTTCCGGAAAAGGGACGTCCGGATATGGGACGTTACACTGTATATGCTATCTGTTAATCTTTTATATGATTGTGCTGTATATCTGCAAAATGTAGATACTTTATATTTTATGAGAAGTTTTGGTAAGTTTTTCTCATCATTGCCATTATGACAAAGTATTTCTAAAATGATTGGAATTGTAATAAGCATTAACTTTCAAAATAAATGTATTATTTTTGGTAGTTTTTGACTTTACAATTAATGGTTATTTTTCCTTGTTTATTTCTTTCCCAGTATTTTTCGCAGTTTTATCTCATATATATATATATATATATATATATACAGTGGAGCATCGTCTATATGACGATCACTTATACGACGTTTACATTTATACGACGTTTTAGTGTGTTCCCAAATCATTCCTATTCATTTTAATGTAAACATATATCGTTTATACGACGCACAGAATCGGTTATACGTCGGTTTTTAGATTTTGTTCACGTTTATTTAATTTTTTATTTCTTCTTGTGTATTTTAAAAAAGGGTGGAATTTGCCAACATGAATGATACAGAAAAGGGTGCCAACAAGAATGCTTGGATAACGAACGTAATTTTTACTAGATGACTGAAAAAACTAGACAATGTTATGAGGAGGCAAAAACGAAACATTGCTATTCATCGACCAATGTTATTTTTCTTTGGTTATTTGCAATTTTTCTTTGGTTATTTGTTTGTTTTGCTTTGTCTAATTTAGAAATTTATGTAAATCAACACGTTAAACATTAAAATTAACTGAAAACAAAGCTAGTTTCAGTTTTAGAAGTAAAAATCGATTATACGACGTTACCGTTTATACGACGTTTTTCGGTGGTCCCTTCGGCGTCGTATAAACGATGCTCCACTGTATATATATATATATATATATATATGTATATATCTCAAAGAGTTAAATTCATTTGTTTCCAATTTCAAGTGCTACTGAAATTTAAAAATGTTCTGATTGTAATTGTTAGTTCACTACCACTAAGAAAAACATTCCTTAAAATGTTCAAATATTAACCAGCTGTGATTATTGATTTGCAATTTTTTGAATACTTCTTGAGTCTGATTTAGGCAAAATGTTATGTTTTATTATGCATTAAGCTTTATAAAACTTACTTTAAACTTATCTTTTTTATATTTTAATCCCTGTTATTTTTAATTCCATTTTAGAAAAAATATGCTGTTGGTGAGGATGACTTCAATACATTTGATAAAGCTGATGTATTTTCAATTGAAGAAGTAAGGATTTAGTAATTTCTTTTCAAACTGTCTAGTTTGAAAAATAATTTTGTTTTTTCCCATCAGAATATTTAATCCTAATTTTTCGCAGCTAACTTCATACCTAATCTGTGAGCATATATTTTGACATCTGATATCGGGAGACTTGTTGGGGAAAGTAGGGGTCATAACTGTCCTGAGATGTGTTAGGATTAGACCAAAGTGTAGAATATATGTTTCAGTAAACTTTCGATTTCAAATTAAAAAAAAACTATACAAGCAAAGTTCCATTATATATTTTAATTAGCCAATGTTTTGTAACTCTTTTGTGTAGGTTAAAAATAAAAAATTGAGTATTATCTCTTGTTTTAAAATATTCTTATTATTTGCTTTTATTTGCATGCTTTAAAATAAATGACTGACTAAAAGTTATTAGTACGACCTCGAAAATCCAGAAATCTCTAAAATCCGGACTCATACGTCCAGTTCGTCAGAAAAAATTTTCAAAAGAAAAAGTTTAACAAAAATAGCTTAAAATAAAAATTTTAATGCAATAGTGCAAAACCACAGCTCTTCTCCAACAATGAAGCAGTAGATGAAGAGGTAGGAGTGGGGAGTGAATGAAAGCTCATAACTGATATGGAAATTCCAGTCATTCTTATCAGCTCTGTATATATAACACAGAATACAAAGGGGAATCCCCTCCTCCTGAAGGGGAATCCCACAACTCTTCTCCAACAATAAAGAAGTAGATGAAGAGGTAGAGGTGGGGAGTGAATGAAAGCTCATAGCTGATAAGGAAATTCCAGTCATTCTTATCAGCTCTGTATAGATAACAAAGAATATAAAGGGAAATCCCCTCCTCCTGAAGGGGAATCCCACAACTCTTCTCCAACAATGAAGCAGTAGATGAAAAGGTAGGGGTGGGGAGTGAATGAAAGCTCATAGCTGATAGGGAAATTCCTGTCATTCTTTACAGCTCTGTATAGATAACAAAGAATATAAAGGGGAATCCCCTCCTCCAACAATGAAGCAGTAGATGAAGAGGTAGGGGTGGGGAGTGAATGAAAGCTCATAGCTGATAAGGAAATTCCAGTCAATCTTATCAGCTCTGTATAGTTAACAAAGAATATAAAGGGGAATACCCTCCTCCTAAAGGGGAATCCCCTCAGGAGGAGGAATTCTTCTACCACTTTGTTTTTCCTCCTTGTGAAGAAGTAAAACTGGTTCTTTCTTAACCTTGAAGCTTAGGAGGCGGGGACAAGTTCTTTCATCCCCCAACAAAAAAAGGATTAGTATCAGCTGTTACAGTCTAGTCTAGAAGCATCTGTTTCAACGATAAGTTGAAATTCAGCTCGCGTTTTAAGCCTATATTTTTAGTTTTAATTGCTAATATTATGTTATCTAAACGATCGATTACAGGGAAAAATGACGAAAGTTTGATTTTTAATGTCTTTTATTTATTATTTAAAGAGTATATTTATGTTAAAATTGACGTCGGAGGTCTACACACGCGTGATTAATCGCGAAATCGGCCTGGCGAATTCGAAACTTCGATAATTCTATCAATTCAAGTAAGGTATCTAAAATCCGGAAATTTCGGAAATCCGGACCTTCCAAACCCCCCAGCAGTCCGGATTTTCGAGGTTGGTATATGGAATATATGTTATATTGAATATTGTAATATATACTTGTTAACTGCTTTGAAATCTTTAAAATGAACTAATGAGGTGAGGGCGGGTAGGTTGTATGGGAAGGTACTTAGTCTTCCTACAGTGTGCAATTTTGGACGAATGAATGCATAGCAAATTGACGACATTATAACATTTAATATCTACAGTTATTTACTGATAAATATATAATTACAAACATAATTGATTCCAGCTATAAATACATTATTGTTAAGAATTATCTACATTCATTATTTCTTAAATATCAAACATCAGGATTGTAAGTAAAGTTGCATTTTTCTTTCAATATACAGTTTTCTTTCAATATGCAGCACAGTACCCCCCCCCCCTTAGTGAGTTGAACGATGAAGAACTTCATGTGTAACGAGTTGGAATATGGATTGTGCATCTAGATCTTGTCACTTGAAATGGGCTGATAAGCTTCACTCTTTTGTCTCCAATGCCTTGCTCTGTTGCAGTTTTAGAAATTGTTGACGATGAAACAGGACCGAAATTCTTTTGAACCAGTACAGGTGTTTCTAAATTCATTCCAGATTCTGTAGAAATATCCAATAAATAGGGTTTTGTCAAATCTATAAATATGTAAATTTTTTTTTGCTTCATTTCAACCTTGAAAATTTTGTCAGTTCTCATTAAAACTTTATATGGTCCATGGTATGGTAAATGCTTGAATATAAATGGTTTCTGCTTTGAGTGATGATAAAATAGAACAGGCTTTAATTTTTCTAGGATGCTTTTTAAATTCTTCATAAATTCTTATTGTGCCTCAATATTTGATTTTTCCAAAAAATCACATGGTAGTTTAATATTTTCCCCTTATAAGAATTCTCCTGGGATGGCTTGACAATCATCTCGCAAGGTTGTGTGTTAACTAAATAGATCAAGCAGAATAATCGGAAGTGTCTTTATCCAGCTGGGATTTTTATGGCACATTATGCTTGCTTTCAAAGTACGATGCGAACGTTTTACACAGCCATTAGCTTGTGGATGATATGTTGTAGTTCTATTTCTTTTAAATCCAAAAAATTTGAAAGTTCTTTGAACAATTGAGACTCAGATTGAGTACCCTCATCAGTTGTGATTACTATTGGAATACTGTAGAGAATGATCAAATTCTTCAATAGAGCACCAGAAACTTTCTGCTTGAATATTAGGTCAAGGAATGACTTTTGCCTATCGTGCTTAGCGATCAATTAGCGTAAGGCAATATCAAAATCCTTTTGAAGATGGCAAGGGACCATCAGATCTAGATCAATTTCTTGAAACTGTTGGCTAACGATAGGATATTCTTGTAACATAGTATAAACATGTTTAGAAATGCTAGATTTCTGACATTTCAAACAACTTTTGGTCCAATCACAAATGACAAATTGATTGTCAAATGAATTTTGATGTAACTAATTGAACAGTCACTTTAATTCTAGGATGTGAGAGATTGTGCATACTTTGAAACACTTCTTTTCAGAAGTTGATTGGAATAAATGGCCTTGCAATTTTTGTGGAAGTATTACATCATGAATATTTAAAGCCAAAAATTGGAATTAGCTCAAATTTTAATGAAGAGTTTGGAGATCTCATTAGTTCTTTTAACTCATCATTAACTTTTTGAGCTTTAGCTAAAGATTCAAAATCAATTTCAATAAAATTCTTATTTATTCCAGTTTTGATTGTGCGTCAGACATAACAGGACAATGTTCTTCTTTTCCTGTTATGTGTTAAATTGATAGAGTGAATTGGCAAATATACTCCAAATGCCTTTGTTGTCATGGTGATGCTCTCTCTAAATTTTGTCAAAATGCATACACCAGTGGCGTGTGATCAATGAATAATGTAAATTCTTGACCCTTTAACAAATATTGGAAATGCTAAATAGATGAATATTCAACAAGCAGATCTCGATCATAGGTGCTATTATTCTTTTGTGTTGGTGTCAGTCTAACAGAAAAGATTTAAGATAATTTATTGAGATGTAAAACTGCATATTTATATTTATTTAGGAAAATAAGACCATTTCAAAATAAAACATTATAATAGGTTAAATAAATTTTAATATTTTGTATAGAAGTAAAATAAGAAGACAGTATTTTTTTTAAAAGAGTTAAAAGAGGTGGTTAAGAAAAGAACCTTTTTCTAAAAATAAATAAAATATAAAGGCAGTGTTTTTTAAGGGATGGCTTCTTATTTCTACAAAAAGGGAAAGGAGGGTGCATTTATAGGGATCAAAGGACAGGCAAGAAGAGCCACTCTTCTAAAAACGCTTAGGGAGAGCATTGCTGACATGGTACTCAACTTAAGGAAACTTACCTTATCCTTACCAATACCCTTAAACAACTTTAAGGGTATTTTTACTTTTTATAAGAAATTTGCAAAAGAGTAGATAAATATTTCAAATGTTTTGTAAACAATACTTTTAAGGTTCTGGTATGATAAAGTAAAATAACCAAATTCTTAGAGATAGCATTAAATAATTTGTTAAGCTGTATAAAAATGTTCTTAATAAATAGAGTTACTAATGTAAGAAAAAAAAATACTATCATCAGCTCTGGCTTCTTTATGAAGCAAAATGGTATCAGAATAAATTTTTAGGCCCATGGCAGGCAAACATCTGATGAGAAGCACATTTTAATTTGTGAAGTGAGAGGAATGATAATGTGTGGGGGGAAACCGCAGAAGATTCGCGAAAAACATTAGTAAAAGAGCTTATTATTTTGAGTTATAAAGAGGAAAAAAATCTAGGAAAGGTAAGCATTTGCTATTTATTTGTTTAATTGTTTATCGTAATTGTTTATCATTATTTATTTGTTTATCATAAATTTACTGCATCAAAACAATTCATAATATGTATTGAAAATATGGTGTATGCTATTGTTTAAAAAATGAGAAAGATCTGAGTGTACAATGTGCAGGAAAATAAACGGACCACCCTGAATAACTTTTGATCTTATAATACGATATTCTTGTTCTAGAATTCACATTTAATAGTTCGAAAAAAGTTGCTTTAAATATGCTAGTTAATTAGTGCAAAAAATTTTCTAGATTACGAAATTATACATAAAAACGAATTTTCTCTGAATAAACAGATTTGGATTCATGACCCACAAAATAGAGAAGGTGGAGTAACCGCAATCTGGGAAATATGGTCCAAATAGTTTGCTTATGAGGGTGGTCCATATTATTAATATCTTAATATTAATTTTACTTTTTGTTTATTTTGCCATATCTGAGGAAATTATTAAGCGAATCGAAAAAATTTTGCACACAATAGTAACATTTTTTTATCCAGAGATACTTCCCATGCATAAAATAACTTTTAGTAAATATTTATTATTTTTTATTTAATGATAGTAAAAAAAAACTTTTGAATTGTAACGAATACTAATTTTTACATAGTTTTATAGAATGTAATTTTGTATGAGAAAGTGTGAAATTTAAAAAAAAAATTTCTAATAGTTCCTGAGAAATTGAATTTTAAATATACAACTTTTTTAAAATTCGAGTTCTCAAGAACTATTCACAAATTTTGCTCAAATTTTGTATTTTGTCATGTAAAATTAACACTTTTGAAAATGACGTAAAAAATTGCATACCTTACAATTCAAAAGGTTTTCGACAATAAATAAGAAAAGTAATAAAAATTATGAATATTAACTGAAGTTATTTTTTGCATGGAATTATCTTTGGATAAATAAATTTTACAATTGTGTTCAAAAATGTTTCAATTCTCTTAACAATTTCTTGATAGAGCAAAATAAAGGGTTCAAACTTTGGTACTCTTTCCTGATCTAACTCTTAGGACCTTATTTCCTAGATTGAGGTTACCTCCTATATTCTGAAAGTCAAAAATATGAATCTATCATAAAAAATGTATGTTTATTCAGATAAAGTACATTTTGTGTCTGGTTTTGAAACTTCAAATATCATCTGCACTAACTAGTTCATTGTATATTTGAAATCACCCCCTCGACCCATTAAAATTGAGTGCTGGAACACGAAGATCCAATTATTGGATCAAAAGCTATTTAGGGTGGTCTGTTTATTTTTCTGTATATAAATATAAATAATTTATTGATTAAATGATAATTCATACGAATTTTATTTTTTAATTTTAATTTCAGGTTGATTTTTCTATAATGCAAAGCAAAGTGTGCGACTTTCATTGTGTGGATGAAGAATCAAAGGTGCATAACTTTTTAATTTATAACCTTTTTCTTTTTAAAATTAATTATGCAATCTAGATTTACTCATGAGTTTTAGTTTAAGGGATATTTGTTTCAATTTATTATTATTCAATTTAGCCTAAATGCATGTTAACCTAATTCTGTCTTTTAGCCTAAATAGAGGTTACATGTTATTCAAGGGTTTTCATGTTGAATGTTTTTTTCTAATAATAATGAGACTACAGTTGAGTATTATCTATATGCATTCCATAAAGCATGTACTAAATATCTTTTTATAATGTTAACAGTAAGGAGTGGTATCCAAACACAGCCTTAGAAAATTTTGAGAGTAGAACCAGTTGTGAAGCAAAAAAATTCTTATACACATCTGATCAATTTTTATCAGTACTAGTGTTAAACTGATAAAATTTGTCTGTGGATGATTTTATAAGGTACATCAAAATGTACAGTGCACAAAATAAAAAGATATCACCCGGAATAACTTTCTTTCTAATGATTAGATTTTCATTCATTTAAGTGTCACTCATAATGGTTTCAAGGGTCACCTCAAATATGCTGATTAATTAGTGTTAATTATCCAATCCAGTCCATTTTTTCTGCAATGTAAGCTCAGTGAATAGTGATAATCATTTATCTATTGCAAACAGTGAGGAGTCAGCTTTAGAAGTTTAAAGAGAATACATTTTACTTTAATATGATTTTTCTTTAAATTCCATTTTCCAACAACCTTTTTTTATGATCTTATTCTATATTGAAAAGAAAAAAAACTCCTAAAATTTTTTTTTGAATATTTCAACTTTAAATAATATGTAAATTTAAAATATGTAATAAAAAATAGACAATGTTTGAACCTATTTTGTAAAAATGCAGCAAGAGTTTCAGGTTTATTATTCAGTGATTGGAGTAAAGAAATGTATAGATTTAGCTATTATTTTTATCTTGATTACTATTAAGAAATAAATTAATAAGATGAAAAAAAATTGAAAAATAATCTAATTATTAATTTAATATATTCAAATCATTTTCAAATGAAAGAGCTATAAATTTCCAAACTTTCTGGTAATCATGTTAAATTCTGTTTTTTGGTCAAAAAATAAGTTCAGTTTTGAAATCTTTTTTGAGTGGCACCCATGTTAGTATCAATTCCTCATATTAATGAAGTAAAAAAAAATTAAAAGAACACTTCTTCTTCTTCCTAATCCCCCAAATTAGCAGGGCTAAACAATGTCCATGGAATTCATGACCCGGAGGAAGTCGGCCACCAAAAGTGGGTTTTCTAGAATGTTCCTCTTGTCCAGTCCAAGACAGTCCAGGATATGTTGGGGAGAAGCCTGCATGTTGTGGCACCTGAGTCAGTTTGGGAAGATTTTAACACTACTCTCGAAAGAAAGAGACTTAAGGTGGCTGCTGGTAAGTGCCGTCTGATCTTTGCGCTAGCACCGAATGTTGAGTGCACCTCCTGGACGGGTGCTCTGGTACCAGTGATGTTTGGGGGGTACGAGCCAGGAAACATTGTCTTCTTTTTTCTTTTTCGATGCCAGTTCCATGAAGGTGAGTGAATTTGGACTCATCAAAGTTTATTCTGTCCCCTCCTTAGCCAGAGTGTCAGCGATATCATTGCCCAGAACCCCAATGTGAGAAGGGATCCTCTGGAGGTGGACTTCAAGCAGTCGTGACAGGATTTTAAGTTTGTGCAGGATTGAAGATCCTGTTTTGTCTCACACCTTCCTCCAATGCGATAAGTACTGTATGGAACTGAGACTGTCAGAGAGTATCCAGATATTATTGTGATCCTGTAATGTTAGAAGAGAATCCAGGGCAGTATCAATAACAATGAGTTCACTTCTTAAAACTGAGCAGTAATCAGGATTCCTTTTGGTGAAGTTAAAGGAGTAATTATTTGATTTAATGTAGACACCGCTGCCAGATGATGTGACCGTCTTGCTTCCGTCTGTGTACACCAGTATTGAGTGTTTGGGGATAGTATTTATAATCTCCAAAGCAAGTTGTTTAAGCAATACCGGGTGATCCAATTTCTTGTTAACTTGTGATGAAAGGTGTTGATGGAAGTCATTCAGTTGGGTCTATAAATTGTTTATTAAGGCTATACTCAACATTTCCAGCAAGAACGTTGTTAACTACGGCCTGGCTAAATGGGCTATTCTTCTTTAGTCTTTAGTTGCTGCTCCACCTTAGTAGATAATCTGCTGTTCTGTTTTGGTGTCCAAGGCTAGAGAGCTTATTAAAAAAACACAAATGATGTCAGATTAAAAGTTCTAGTATTCAAGTTTTAAAATCTTGAATAATTTATTAATTGATTAAAATTTTATTTTCAAACAAGATTAAAAAGAAAACAATCTTTGCTTTTTGGTCAGAAATCAGACCAAAAGACAGGGATGTGATTCTTCTGCTAATTAATGGAATTTCGGGAATATCAAGATAGTTAATTCGCTGATTTCCAGAAAACAATAATTTATATTCCGACGAAATTTTCTCGAATATCTGCTAATCTAAAATTTAAATTTCCTTACCATTTAAAATCAAGTTAACGAGACATTTATTCCGCCTTTACCAGCATTCTTTCCACACACCCCAAGTTTCACTCACATGTTCACAACTTCGGATAAACTTTGAGGACACAAGACAGAGAAAAATTTCTATAACTTCGGCTGGAAATGAATGAACTACTCAGAAATTTTTAAATTTTTTTTAACTTTGCATTTTCTTTGGTACCAATTTTATTGAAAACTCCAACTTGTAGCAGAAGAATTCTTTAATCAATGTGATATATTTGCCCTCTTTTTTTGTTTTTTCCGCTTGATATTTTAAAAGGCTGATGATATTATGATATGTGAAACTCGTATTTCTAATGTGAGTATAAGCTATTTGTCACGTTAATTTTATAGTTTCTACAATTAATTTTTGGTTATGATCAAGATTGATTTCGCTTAAAAATTTTGAAATTAATAATTTTAAAAATTTTGATATTTTCAATATAGTATTTTTATTACAATACGTGTGTCACGAAATGTTCATTTAATGAACCCCTTTTCGATGCATCCAATTCGTATGATATCATATATTCATACATGTGGTATTATCATCAGTCTTTTTATCAGTGATTGCTGCAGATTTCACAGTTTTAAAAGCCTCTTTTATATATTTTTATTTGATGATGACTTGTACAGTTTGAATAATGATTAATATGTAATTTTTTTCAATGTATACATTCTTGTATGTGTTGATAATGAAAAAATTTATTGGACAAATAAAATTTTCGTTCTCTCTTCAAATTTCATAAATGTCACTTTTGTGCATAAAAATGATAGTCTTTTATTTATTTTCGATTACAAAAAAATAAAAAATTAAGAACTAAAAGGAAAAAATTAGAGAAAAAAATTTCAGATAATTTCTTCTTCCAGCAATCACATGTCTAAAAAAGTGTCTGTTGCCCAGAAACTTCGAAAAAATTTTCTGTTAACTATTAATAAGTAGACCTTTCCGAGTTATCATAAAATATTGAATGATGTCATTCAACATTTGTTTAAGTTCATTTTTTTTTCATTCTATTTTACTGTCTCAACTTGGTTCCTTAGCAACAGAGAAAAATTAAGTATTGCTGTCTTGAGTTAGTTTATGGTTCTCTTCATTTACTCTATTATCAAAGGAAATATTGTTTAACCATTTTTTTGAGACTATCGCTAAATATAAATAGCTTCCTAGTGTTCCAATTTATAAACAATTATTTAGAAATTTTGTCTTTCCTCCTTATTTTGAGAATCAGTGATCCCAGTATGTAATGCAATATGTAAAGAAAGAACATGTTTATTCAGAAAGAGTGCATTTTTATGTTTCATTTCGTAACTTAAATAATAGTTAGCCTTATTTAATTAGATGATTTATGATCATCCCCAAAAACCATAAAGATTGATACTTAGTTCATGAAAATTCTATCATTAGAAAGTTCTGTGTGATAACTTTTTCATTTGGCACACTATACAGTAAGTGTTCCAATATTTAAAGAAATGTAAGTTAGTAATGTGTAGCTTTGATAAATGTGCCAAATCATACCCTAGTATAAAAACAGTTAAAGCTCTCACAAGTATCTCTTCAATCCCGCAATGGAATTTAATATCACCATGAAAACAAATTGAAAGATAAGGCTTTCTGCATTCTTATTCATTCTAAATCTGTCAATTCTTTCTGTCTCTGTTGACCCTATGGGTAGTTTTGTTACCTTCTGAGCTTCTCATTTTGCAGCATACACCATATAAAAATGAGGCAACTGCATCCGATTTTTTGTTACAAATTTTAAAGAATCTCACCTTGATGCAGGAAAAAGTAGTGGTCGGCTTTAGTTACTGTAGAGTTGTTTATAATAACCTGTAGAATGTATTAATTGTAGAATCTGGTGTCAAAATGAAATTGAACGATATATAAGCATTAAATTAATTAAACGTCGATAGGAAAATGAATGGAATATCAGTGAACAGAACAGAAGTGTTAAGTATAATAATGTGTTTGTGTCACACTAGTGTGATTGTATCTAGTGTTTTAACTTATAACAATTTACCTGAGTATAGATCATTATTAGCAGCTTTCTTCTCACGCAAGTAGAGTTAGGCCATTTGTAAAATGTTTTTTTTTCTCACTGCATCTATTCTAAACGCCTTCAGTATTATTTCATGGATCGTTTTTACATTTTCTATTAAATTGTTGCAAAACTTAGAGTTTATAGATAATTATTATTTACTTTGGGGCCTTAGGTTTAGAAGCAGTAGGTTCAACTAGTTATGCAGCTAGTTATGCTGCTGCAGCTTAGTATTTTTGATCTCTCTAAACAAGTATTGAAAAGTTGATTATCTCTTTGAATGCAACTGATGCTTTGTCCTACAATGTTTTGCACCTTTAAAATTTATGCTATTTCTGATATTTATTTACTTTATAAACATGTTTGACATCAGCTTTTTTGAATATGGAAGCTGTAGGTTGCTATTAAT